TGGCAGTTCTTTTTTCTTCCGTGGGAGCTCCTCGGCAGCCCACAATCAAAACAAGGCGCGGAAGCAGAAGCACCAACACACAAACACCAGACCACTCTGGAGCAGAAACTAAACAATGCGCAGGCAGAAAAAAGACTGCTGAACCCGATACACGATCACACTTGTTCTGATCCCTCTTAGTAAACAGATGCCTCGTGTTGCACGATTGCGTAAACGCGGTCGGTGGTCTTGGCTTGGCTTGTGTTGACTTGACTTGGCCCGGCTTGGCTTGGCTCGAATTGGCAGGTGCCCGCATTCCCGCATGGCGCGCGCGCGTGCGGCGTGCGCGCGTTGTAAAAACACAAAAGCGATAAAAATGCTTTTTTATGTTTTCTATTCGCCCCTTCACGTGGCCCCATGGCTAGAAAATGCCCCTCCACACCCCCACTTCTTTTTTCATTGGATATTTTGCATTGAGCCGGAGGGATGACTTTCTCCCTGACTCGCGCGCCTCGTGGCTGAACTTGATTCCGAATATAACGCGAGGTGCGTTTTGGAGCACGTAATTTCGAAAAAAAAACTCGCGTTATATTCGTGCAAATAATGGTTAAACAAAAAAACCTTTAAAAGAAAACAAGAAAAACTCACATATTTTTGTACTAATCTAGCGTGGCTCACTAGAGATGCATTAAGCTCAAAGCTTGGAATAGTTTTATTGTTTTATGCAAGAAATTCTCATGAAAGAATGTTTTACTATCAGAAAGAATGTTGCCTTGCTTACGTGCGATGAACCCCGCCGATCGGCATACAGCGCGAACGTTCCCTGAAAGCACATTTGAGCACAGCTATGTTCTCTTCGTTAGTAAAAAAAAAGAGTTAAGAAAAAAGAAAAACCACCCGGGCTCAAAAAAATGAGCGAGCGAGCTGGTGAAAGAAGTGACAAAGAGCAGTGTTTGTGAAGCAGGAAAGCCGGCGATTGCGTTGGGCAAATACCTTGGTGTCGGGTCGAGTTGGGTGCCTTGTCAATCACAAGAAGCAGGCTATCATTCAACTTTCCTGTTTGATGCATACATTCGTGCATCCGTGCAAGTGTGCTATCGGCACAATTTGAGCCAATGTTGCTGCATGGTGTGGACGGCATTACGAACACGGAGCTTGCAGTGGGATGCTCTACAGACGTCTGATGTGCGGCGTTTCAGCAAATCTTTATTTACCTGTCAGCTTTGTCTTGAACATTGCACAACCTTACCAACCACAGTCGCGACGTTCCCAGAAGTAATGGATTCGCTGACCTCGCGATCCCTAAATGCATTACTGCTTGTGTTATGTCTATAACTTTTTTTTTTTTTGTCTGAGCAAATTTTTTTGTGAGCAAAACAAAGTTTTATTTTGTTATCTCCATCGCTTTCCTTTTGTGCGGATGTACTCCAACTTGGGGGTGGCTCAAATCAGGGAGGAAATGTGTAAACAATGTGAAGTGTCTTTCCCTCTTTCGTTTTACTCAGAGCCGTATATTGGGAGAGTTCGGCCAATCCATGATCTCGCCGCCATAACGCCCCCCTCCCAAGTGAGCCCATCTGCCCGCGGCACAAAGCGAGAGGTGTGAGCGCATGCGCGTGAACTCCCGGCTGCTCCCAGCTGAGCGGGGAGGGCCGCCATTTTCACTCGTTTGCCTGGCGGAGTGCATGGGATCGACATCCGAATTTCGATTCTTTCCCTTTATTTGGCAGGCTCTGGCAAGAAAATGATATAGTGTTATTGCTCGGTGACTTAAAGAGCTAACGAATGAAGTTTCTTCACGTTTGAATGCAAACTTTCATTCAGGTGAAAAAGAAATAAGCCCGTAGCAAACGCTCTCGCTCCTTCGGCACTCTCCTCCCTTTCCTTCACTTTTCTCCTCTCTGGCGCCTTCGTCGCCACACCCCCTGGCCAAACTCTCCCAATATACAGCTCTGGTTTTACTCTGTCACGGACGTCCTCCAACCGTAAGGTCCGCGGCCGCGTCATTCGGATAGGATGAATGTTCGCAGATCGTGGACTTAGGGTATTTTAATGCGAAAGCATTAACTGTCCTATGAAGCGAGCCGACATCATCAGTTTGAAGCGCTAAAATGGCACCTTAAATCCTTTCTCCAAGTGAAGCCAGCTCCCAGCTATGAAGCCACACGAAGAGCCTAGACAACGGCACCTAGTTTCCCTTATCCCAAAGGAGCAAAGTAAAGCTGATAGATTTTCAGCTTCGGTCCCATTGCCTGCTGCGCGTTAGTTTCAACGACCGCACATCCCACGACGCTGTGTGTCCGTCAGCACACCATTAACATGGAGCGTCCAAGGTCAGCGCGCCTAGGAGGGCGTGCACGCTGATTGGCGACGAGGAGTGTGCAGCAGACGAAATAAGGGAGCGGATGAGCGGCTTGCATGCTTCCGCATTCACAACTCATAAGAAGTGCTTAGGTGTACCTCAAGCCTTTTTGTAGAGGTGGTCGATCACTCTGTGTTTTTCTAGAAATCGACATTTGCCCAAAAGGTGGGGTGGGTGATGACTCAGGGATGCGTGATGATTTAGGATATAACAATAGTTACTATTGACGTGTATAACTAATTTTGAGGCAGATCAGTGACTATCAAAATTTTGCTGGAGCTCTTCTCTAGAAGGGGTCATGAAACAATATTATTGCTTGTTGCCGAGTGCTGCTTGAAATGAATCCTGACGTTCATAACCTTTAACAACCTCCTTTAGCTGGCAGTTGGTTAAAAAATTTGACAAAACCAAGCATCCTTCACCCCTTCTGTTTGCAGCCAGAGCAAATAGCTGCCCGATCTGCCACCGACTTTATGTCGTCGGCATTCATCATTGCCTTGCTCTAGGGTTGGCAACGTACCATGCACTCGTTGTGTTCGGAACATTGTTAGGGTTTGGTTATTCCCGTCACTGCAGCAATTGGTCACGATCCCCAACCCAAATGTCTGCCGAAACATTGATTGACACCAATCGGCCATGCAGTGCTCGAGTCCAGCCCTCAAGCTTCATTCAATTATCATCAGCTTGGGGTGAATCCCGTGCCGCCATCCACACTGCAATCCCCAAGACTATGTCAGCAAGCTTTCTGAAGGAGAGACAGAGATATAAAGCCGTTTCTATTCTAGAAATTACCCTTTGTCAAAGAAGCTTCTGGCCCTGTGGCTTCGTGTGCAAGCATGCTTTTATTACACTTGTGCCAGTATATTTTTGTAATGTAACTTTCATACTGAATATCGTTTTATACCATATTAGCAGTCTCATGTCAGAACTATTATTTCAAGGCAGGCTAAGCTCCTATCTATGCCTATACATTTTTTTTTTTATTTTGCTTCATGGGGTATGGGGGGGAAGGCATCCCAGTTACTGATATGTGTGTGGTAGCGGCCTGAAAAGATCCTGTTTGAACAATGGAAAGAGTGTCGTCTGGGCGATGCGACACAAGCTGGAGTGTGGGCGTCACAGGTAACATCTTCACATACTTTTGCACCATATCCCACGACATCTGTCAATCAAGTGTGATACACCCGGAGAAACTGCCAATTTTCAGGTCATTCCCCGCTGCCCTATGCATTTCCTTGAGTTTTCTACGTCTGGTGTATTGGGCTGATTGCATTTCTACCACCCCTCGCTGCATTTAAGAAATTAAAGTTGAAAAGATTGAAATTCTTGAATCAAGTTGAGATGAAAATGCCATTCATGGGAAACAGAAGACCATTTAATTTGGTCCTTTTTTTCCTTTAAGATACTCTTGGATACACAAGCACTCCTATCTTTTGGGCCGGTTGACACAAACTTGACATGACGCAAAGACATAGCATGATATGAATTGAACTCTTTGTTGTCTGCTTCTTTTACTATGTGCACATCTGTGTGTACTCCGTTTGTTCTCTGTTGAGCTTTGAAAAATTTTCATGCCCGGAAATGGCTTGTTGCCCTAGCTGTCAGTTATGCCGATTCAGAAATCTACCTGTCATCAGTAGTACCAGTGACTGTTATTTACAAATATTAATCTGAATTACATTTTGCTTGACTGCCGAAATTAAATTAGAAAGTTTGCAACTATAGTCCCAGAGCCTGGGACAATGGAAGAAAATTGTTGAACTTCTAAAGTAAATTAAGGCTTGCATCCCGTATCTTTCATTCTTCCTGTGCCATCTGCACCGAAAGTCTAGGCACACAGCGTGAGACCCGTCTGCTTCGTCTGCTTAGGAGTGCTTCTGTTGGTCAAAATGAGTGTGAAGGTAACACTTCTTCATGGACAGCAGAAACCTACTCAAAGGCTCTATTACTTGAGGCTAGCCTATGCAGTGTCTGCAGGTTTTCACATCATGGGCCAAGTGTGTGCTGTGGGAAGATGGGTTGCCTTATTCCGCAGTTGTAGCAGGGCAGCAGGGCAACTCTACCTATGCAGTGCAACCACTGACCCGAGGTCTTACGACACATGTCACTCATTGGCGACTGCATGACAGCAAACTGGCTTTCGCATGTGCCAAAGGGAAGAAATTGAAAGCCACCAATTGTCTGCCTGCGACCACATTGATACCCGTTGAATTATCCGAACCGTGAGGTTTCGTCTTTCTCGGAACACCATGCAAGTGTGCTTTTTTTATTTCATAAAGGGTTCAATTAGTGTACTTTTATCTATTGCTTTTTTGCCAAATGAATGCTAAGAGACTGCAAACATGCATTGCATCACCTTACAATGAACTGCAGCGAATACTACGAAGCAACGAAGACAATCCAATGTGATGTGAGCGTCACATTATCTGCACGTTCACAACGCCGAATGGGCTAGGGTGGCTCGTCTGTTGCAGTTCGTCGTAAGGTTAAGCAGCGAATGGATGCTTGACATTTTTGGCCGTCTGCGAGCGTGTGTTTGCTCCCACCCGTCCACATCCAAACAAGTTGTAGTGGGAACCGAACTTGTGACGTTCGAACTTGCGGTGCAAGTGTGTGTCGTGGATGTTGTGCCATTGCCCCGTGTGCCCGTTTCCCGCAGCACTGGCAGGTGTTCCAGAAGGTCTCGGAGCTTTTCATCCTGGTGCCCGCTCTGCTGGGGCTCAAGGGAAACCTCGAGATGACGCTGGCCTCCCGGCTCTCGACACAGGTGACGCTCCGCCTCCGACACACTTGTTCCCAATTGTGCGTGTAGGTAGCATCAAGCTCGCGTGCACTTGCACCCGCTTAACCGGCCGACGCCAACACATAAGCTTCCGGTTCAATGCTAAAAGTGTGTGAAGAATCCTGGAGGGCAGCTCTGCTTCATTTTGACTACTGGGAAAATAATGCAGTTGTCGTTAGTGTCATCTAGAAAGGCGTCAAATATTGAGGGGAAATTCTGCCTAAAAGTATATTGAACTGGCTGACAAAGGTTGGGATCCGCCAAGTCAACTAAGTTTTCCCGTTTTCTTGCAGGTGAGGTGTGGCGCATTCAGTTGGGAGCCATTCATGCGACAAAACTTTTACAAAATAGAATGCATGCAAAGTAATGCTGTACATTTTATTTTCAATCACGATCGATCCATAGGCTCTTTCTTCCTACTGATGTTAGATTCAAACTTCCGGCCTATAAGTACCACGGTCATGTTGACTCGGATGAAATTATTTTCGAACTTGCTACATGTTCATTATTTTATTGATATTTGCGAATATATTGTGTGTGCAAACTTTCATAATGCAACTAGAACAAAAAATAGAAAATACATTTTGCCTTGTGGCTTTGATACAAACTCTTTTGGGAACTCATTTTTTGTTGAATGTAGTGACAAACAGGACTGCCTATTAACGAATGCTGTCAATAGTGCACGTGTGTCTGCTTTTCTCAATGATATTTTAATCCTTGTGGATGCTTCTACTCTTAACGTGCCTAGAAACCTGCTTTTGCCTCATGGCTGGAGTATGTTCAGAATAAATACATAAACAAATAAACATCTAAAATAGTGTTGTGCTAACTACAACAACAGCATTCAAACTTTTCCATGTACTTTTCTCTGCCCCCTGCACTGGGCACTCTGTCTCTTCGTCAATTTCGTCGTGAATAAAATAGCTAACCCGCTATGTTTCGATAGCAACAATCTTAGTTTGTTTACATTGCGATGGCATTCTGACGCCCAGCTGCGACGGTTGCCAAAAAAAGCAGAGGCTCTTGATTTTGTGTCCATAGCTGCTCTGGCTATCAATTGTTCAGTACTGCTTTGCACCGGTGTGCTTAGAGAAGCGACTGACTTGGAGAAGCATCTTGATTAGCAAGGTGGGCTCAGAAGCCTGGGGGATGCTTGATACATCCTTCGCTTATTTTTCATACATTTCACGAGTATAGTGGGTGGGCGTTCACCGTGACTCAGGGGCATGCTCTGCATGTTAAGATGGTTCTTTCAAACGGCCGTCGAATTCCGAGTCTGGCTTACGATGTGCACACGCTGGCTTCCTTACCACTAAGTACCGACACCATGTAGAGTATAGTTGTGACTCAATAATAAGGACCCCTTAAAGGGATACTCCACCGATTTTTTGAGCTACCTCAACTAACTATATTTTCTGACTCCCCGGCCTTTAGCCTTTCCGGTATGCTATTCAGCATCGCGAAATTCATAATAGGTATTGTGAAATCGGCAAATGAAAATGGTGCAAAAACCAATATTCAAATATTCGCGCACTTTTCAGTGCCGTGACGCCAGTGGCAGGCAGGCTTGCCAGTCAAGCAAGTAGTCTAAAAATAGAATATGCCAATCATTTGTTCCGTGCTGGAGCGCGAATACGGGAGCGAGCTTCCAAAGCACTCATTTGACACCATGCAACTGCTTCAAATCCGTTGGGAACAACTTCTGTAGTCCAAAAAGTTAACCCCTGCCTTCCACTGACGTCACTTTGTTGTTGTTGCCACTAGAGACTTTCAGTTTGAAAAACATGTGGAAGACCAAAACTGTAAATTCAATAACTCCGCGAAAAAACAATATTTTGACCTAATATTTGGGATACTATTTTAGCAATGTTTGTTGGTTAGTTTAGCAAACTTTCAAGCAAATCGGAGACAATAAAAAAACCGGTGGAGTACCCCATTAAAGGGGTACTCCGCCAATTTCTTCATGGTCCCTGATTTTCTTGAAAGTTTGCTAAACTCGCCAAACAACATCGCCAAAATAGTATCTCAAATATTTGGTCAAAATAATTTTTTTTCACGAAGTTATTGAGTTTACAATTTTGGTCCTCACCGTGTTTTTCAAACTGAAAGTCTCTACTGGCAACAATGAAAAAGTGACGTCAGTGGAAGTGCAGGGGTTCACTCTTTGGACTGTAGAATTTGTTCCCTACTGATTCGATGCAGTTTCATGGTGTCAAATGAATGCCTTGGAAGCTTGCTCCAGTCCCCGTGCTCCAGCACGGAACAAATGATTGGCATATTCTATTTTTTAGACTGCTCGCCTGACTGGCAAGCTTACCTTCCACTGACGTCACGGCCCTGAAAAGGGCGGGTATATTTGAATGTTTGTTTTTGCATCATTTTCATTTGCCGATTTCGCAATAACTATTATGAATTTCACGATACTAAATAGCATACCAGAAAGGGTAAAGGCCGGGGAGTCAGAAAATATAGCTAGTTGAGGTAGCTCAAAAATCGGCGGAGTACCCCTTTAATGTGGACATGCCGCTATAATAAACAAAAATGTTGAAGGTACAAACTGGGTAAATACGCTCATTTTTGTTTCATTATTACGGACAATTTTTAGGTAATTGGAAGTGTCCATATTGATGAGGCATGACTGTACCCATTCAGCAAAACTTGGAGGCTTCTAAAATTGGATTGCACTTTGTATTTGTGCGTGGTTTCGGAAGGGGCAACTCGTTTGGCTCGATGCATTCAATCTTTCGCACAGGCCAACCTTGGCAGGATGGACACGGCCGCAGAGCAGTGGAGGATGGCGACAGGGAGCCTCGCACTCCTTCAGGTAACCGCAAGGGCCAATTTTTTGGAAGCCCTCCGGTGCTGCAAGGTTTTTTAAGAAAGGCACGAAACTGGCAGTGCTTTCTCCAAAGTAGAAAGTTTCGGGACGAACGTGGTCGAGATCCCTTCTTGCTGGCACTCGGTTGTACGAGCACCGCATAGGCTCTCCAGAAAATTCCACAAAAGAGAAAGAAAGTGTTGAAGAGGCGTTCGTGACACCTCTCGATTTATTCTCCGTCGGTGAGAGGGAGATTTCTCTTGGTGTCACTAATCTTTGTTTGTCTCGACACCAGGGGAGTCCTGGCAATGCATAACGGAGGCAGGAGCCGGCAGGATACCTGCAAATGAAAGCTGCTAGTGAGCCGACGTTTCGGCGTGCCACGTCTGTCGGCGAAATTTCAGCTCCCATTTTGTCATCCTTTTCGGGGGTGTCTCTCCGAGCAGGTGCCGAAGAAACAACAATCTAAATGTCTTTGTTTCGGCGGTGCACGTGGGCTGGTTCAAAATGGGCAAATTTTTTTTTAATGAAATACAAAGTCCCCGACATGCTTCGAGCTTCTGCTCAAGCTTCGGTTTTTTGCAGTACTTAATGGTACTGAGAAGCGTGTTACTTTGTTTGACAAGGTGGGTTATATTATGCTATCCTAAAACGTGTCCAGAGGAAAAAAAAAAAGAGCAGTCTTGTGTTCACCCTTGGCACAGTCGCAGCCATAGCTGCGACATGTCAAGTTAAAGTCGTTGAGCATCAACGTCGTGTCCATGCATCGTGGGGTCTCGTCGGCGAAGTCTCTCGGCTCCATCCTCACAAGCGTGCGCCTCGCAGTTTTCCCCACCACGAACAGCGAGACGCATCAGCGTCGCCGCCAGTTCGTCCTTGGTGTCTTGCAACGAGCGCAACGCCATGCTCTATTTATTCCCAAGCTTAGACCGCGGCAGAAGCTGCGTGCCCGCCGGACCGGTCGGCTGCCTCCTTCTCGTCACCCAACACGTCTCACCGAGTGTGGGTGTGGGCGGAAGCGTTATGACGTGGCGAAAGAGAGGTGTACGACCGATCCAACGAGGACGTAGCTTCTGCCGTGGTCTCTGCTCGGGGGCTAGCAGAGTACAGCAACGCTGAGACGTTCGCGTCTGTTGCTTCGCACCGTACCCTCGCCGAGCTTCGGCGCGTTTGCCGCTTGGGGCAGATCAGGGGTCCGCCGCCGACAAAGTGACGCCGCGGGCCCATCTTCCAGACGGTGTCAGACGGGTGGGTACGGCTGCACCCTCCTAGTCGGGCGGCGACTCGCACCACCTGGCCGAAGCTTTTAATTTCAGCGATTAACGCCGATTAAAATTGGAATTAGGAACGACGAAGACTTTTGGCGGTGACTGTTGCCACCTAATGGGCACTATGCGAGACTCGTGCACACATGTGTGTCGCAAGTACACCGCGTATGAAGCGGGCTGTCGAAGCCACGGCGTAGCTGCGTGGTGACGCACCTGCTTTGCATGTGGCGGACCCGGGATCAAATCCCGATAGCACTGCGATGGCGGGCAATCTTTTTAAAGCCTCTGACCACGTCGACGATGGAAGCCCTACTGAGAGGACTACGAGAACGACGGACGTCACTTCGGGGGTGGGAAGACCCCACAACGGCTATCGCGGCAAGAAAGCATCGGCGTAAAAAAGTGTCGGTGAAGCCCAAAAAGTTGACCTCAATGCTCGCTGCCGATTGGCCGGTGGAAAGGTCAGTCATGGGATAATTGCCAACGGGCTGATTCTGGCGAGTAAAGGGGGTTCTGGAAAACCGCCGGGCTTTATGACCCGACTAGCGCCAGTATTTTCATTCCAGGAACTGCCGTCAAGTTTATGTGCCACGTGTTAAGTGATGCAATGAAGCGCGCCGTGAGCATAGGTGCCGGGCTTGGTAGCGTTCAGGAGAGACGCCGAGACGTTGAACTTGTTATACAATTGCCCAGCACTTTGCTACGCATATTTGAGCGGATTTCATCAATCCCATCGGACGGAAGAACTGTTGTCTCATAGTTGAGACTGGCAAAACGGCAAAGAGTAATGACAATACGGTTCACTCTGAAGAAAGAATGTGGACGATTACTCTGAAAGTTATCTAAACATTTTTAGTGAAAATAAAGAATGACCTCTTGAAGAAAATGTCCAAAGTGGTGTCTGCCAGGCCAGGGTTGCTCACATAATATTTCTCTACTGTGCCAGATCCAGGCTACAGTGGTGGGCTTCCTGGCATCTATATTTGCGGTGGTGATGGGCTGGATTCCGGACGGAGAATTCAGCTGGCAACACGCGCTCCTGCTCTGCTCCAGCAGTCTCTTCACGGCCAGTGTGGCCAGCCTCGTGTTGGGTGAGGGTGCTCCCATTACTTTGGCGGGGGCCATGATGCCCTTAGATCTGCCTGTTTGCAAACAGCGCCACAGACTCTGCAGCAAATGCATTCAAAATTGTGCAAAGGTTTTCAGGCCATGTGTCTAGAAGATTCTCGCTTAAATACCAAAATTAAAATAAATATTTAAAAAAAAATTTAATTGAAAAATAAATTGTTATAATGAAGTCATAGCCTTTAAAGTTAGGAGGAGTCTATTTTGCAAAACTTGGTTTTATTCTAAGAACACTCGCATCCCTGGAGAACAAGCCCTCTAAAGTGTGGAGTGCAGTAGGTGGCAACCCGTCGTGCTGTCTTTAATCGAGGGGAGACTGGGTATCCTACTCTTAAACTGTGCGAATTTCAGGTTTTGCTTTTTTCTTTACAGATGTTCCACGAAAACGTGTCATATTTCGTTGGTTGAGTCTGGTAACACTTTGTCATTTTGTAGCCTATTGAGGTCTGCTGAGCAGATAGGTTATTGTTCTTAACTATTTCCGAAGCCCTTGTTTCGGCTACAAAGCTCATTCCCGAAAAAGGGTCGCCTTCATCGCGAATAGTCCTCGGGACATAGGAATGCTTTCTTCTTTGTGTCGTACACCTATATTTTCTGTAGTCGGATGTGAGTTATGTGCCAATCAAACAGCACTGCACAATGCCACGGTATTAAGTCACTCCACGGGCCATCCAGGAAAGGTCACGGCGAGTTATGCGACACCGATGCAGCGTTTTTCTAGCTTCGCCTCGGAAGCGGACTATGTGTGCGCATCGTGGAGGAACAGTGGCTATTGTCACTGACAGAATGGGGATGGCAGGGAGGAGGTTTAGTAGTCCCATCTCGAGTGCAAGCTCCTTACCTTTGGTAGCACTTCAATGCCTTGTGCGTCTCGAGCGCGCTTATACTGTCGAGGCTGGTTATAACGAAGTCAACAGGAATCGGAAATCAGTTCGCAATGTCCGCTATTTCGTTATAACCGACTTCGGTTATAATGAAGTGCAAAAGGGAATGGGAAATCGTGATCGCTTTGCTGTAGCCGCTATTTCGTTATAACCGACTTCGTTATAACCGGTCTCGACAGTATAGCCAAAGTGTGGCGGAAGACACGGAGCTTGGGTGACCATAATCCTCACAGTAAGAAGCAGGACATAGAGAGGGGTGGCAGAAAAGAAAAAGAGAGTTCTGCTTTGCATGAATGTAAACACGCACATCTATCCAAAGTTCTTCCTTGAGAACAGAAGTGCATTCCTTCCCCCATTTTTAAACAGTGGGGAAGAAATGTTGCCAATTGAAGCACGTCACATCAGTAATATAGAAGAGTCTCTCACGGACACGTTTATGTGAACAAAATGTATTAGCAGATGCAACTACACTATGTTTCATAGCATGTTTCTTTTTATAACATTATGTCTGTAACGAGTAAACATTCTTTCCATTTTCTTTCAGTTCCTTAGTACTAATTTCGCAACTACTATGCATGTTCCCATGGAAATGGGACATGAGGCTTCGTTAGACCAAAAAGACCGGATGGCAGGAATGAACCTCTAAAACGGGACTGTCCTGGCTAAAACAGAACGTCTGGTCACCACCATAGGCTTGCACAGCGGGAGGCCAAGCATGCTATGGCCTCCCTGATGACTCTGGAGGGGCGCAGATTCAGTAAGGTTCTCTTTTTGTTGTGCAGCACAACAAATAGACTAAGACACTTAAGACTGCATACATGTAGGAATGCGAAAGCATTTTCTACACACAGCGCATTCCTACAAACAGCTCGCCACGTCTTTCTTTTTCACTCGGTGCTCCGGCAGTGACATCACGCTGCCCCACTGTGCAGGCGCAGCACCTGCGTTGGCTCCACGGCATCTGCGATGCATCTGCGTTGCTGTGCTTTTCTTTATGTTTAAGTGCGAAAGCATTAACTGTCCCAGGGAGCGAGCCGACATCATCAGCTTTGAAGCCGCACCAAACGGCACCTAAACTCCTTTCTTCAAGTGAAGCCAAGATTTAATGGCTTCCAGTTTTGAAGCCGCGCGAAAAACCTAGCCAAACGGCACCTAGTTTTCCCATTCCCAATGGAGCGCAGTGAAGCCGAAATCTAATAGATTTCGGCTTCGGGCCCATTGGCTGGCACCCGTCATAGTTTCAAGGAACGAGGCTCCCATTGGCCGCTGCGCGTCAGTTTCAACAACTTCCGCCCCGTCGCGCTGCGTGCCCGCACCGCCAGCGCACCGGTACGAGGAATCGGCTGGCGCGCTCGGGCAGACCGCCTGCGCGTAGGAAACGATTCAGCTGTGCCGCCACTCAGGAGAGCAGCGGCACGGCCGATGTCAACGCAGCGCAGTCACTTCACGAGGATGCGCGCAAGAGCGGGATTCATGCTTTCACATTCACAACTTGTAAGAAGTGCTTAGGTGTGCCTCGAGCCTTTTATTTCTGAGGTGCGTCTGCTTTGACCTGGAGCTCCCCGCCGGCTTCCGTGACGAAGCATCTGCATTGCTGTGCTTTTGGCCAATGGGACTTTAGGTGCCATTTTGCTCAGCCATTGGGAACTTGAGTGCCGTTTTTTGCTGCTACAGACAATGCCGGCTTCGTTCCATGGGACAGTTAATGCTTTCGCATTAAAACAGAACCTTACTGAATCTGCTCCCTTCCGGAGTCATCAGGAGGGGAGCGAAGCTGTACATGCGTATGATGGTCACCCCACATGTAGTGAATGCTGGAGGTTGCATGTTCAAAAGACACACCCTGCCATTTGCATTCTGTCAGTGGCCGTAGCAGTAGGGATGATGTGGGAGGAGCTTCTGATCAATACCTACTGGCTACAGTAGGTATTGCTGCGCACCAGACGTTCCCCAAGGCAGACACGCAGTTATAACCACTTTAATGTACAGTTCAGCGACATTCACCAACTGCCGCACCAACACGCATCCGCAGGCATGGTGATGATTGGGGTGGTGATCCTGTCACGCAAGTGCCACATCAACCCCGACAACGTGGCCACGCCCATTGCAGCCTCCCTCGGGGACCTCACCACCCTGGCACTGCTGGCACTGGTAGCAAGCTTCCTGTACACACGCCTAGGTGAGAAGGACCGAGGGCAATGATCCCCATGTGTACCAAATGTTAATTTTCTCCGATCATACATTTTCTTATTGCAGTCGTAGCGATTGCAGAGACCGGCTTCGAAATTCAGATGGAGCCCAAATGTGTTCAATCTCGCGCGCTCATCTTCTTCCTCGATGCTTGGGGCTGTCGCCACATAACGTATTGTCTTAAAAATGTGTCAAGGTTGTACCGCAAAGCGTTGAGTAAGAGTAGTGTTGTGTCATATCTATAGCTCCCCAAAAGCATTATTAACTCTTACTTTTCTCGGGTCCTAAATTATTTGTCGCAATCCTACTGTACGAGCCTCTACCGTCTCCACTCAGGTCTTAATAATGTCGATACTTAAGTGCCCCTACCTTACCCCAACCAATCCGCTCCGATCGTGGCATCCAGAGGTGAACCTCTGAGGTGCTCTAAATGAAAATTTTAATGTACCTTAATCATATGGATCGATCCTGAAGACGCGGAATGTGCAGTGCGTTTCAAGCTGTGCTATATGTGCTTACGGTCTTTGTGAACACTTCAAAACTCGAGAGTCCGCTAGACTCCACTAAAATAGAGTGGACGGATGTCCCGTCAAATTTAACAGGAGACGTGTCCGCGCTAAATCTAGCAGAAACTGAATTGGTGCATAATTATACTGAATTGCCATATAATTATATTGAATTGTTTTGTAATTATGTTGAGTTAGTATATAATTATATTAAATTGGTGTAGAATTATATTGAATTGGTGTAGAATTATATTGAATTGGTGCGTAACTAGATTGAATTGGTGTAGAATTATATTGTATTGGGTTATAATTATGTTGAATCGGTGTAGAACTATTACAGCGGTGCTGTTAAGGGCTAGTTTCCCCAGGGTCGTGTCTGCCGGATTAGAAATGATGACACCGAACTCTGGACAGCTACCACCATCTCTGAGCGGTGGCGGCAACCAGACAACTGGTTGCCGCCGTCGCTCATAGATGGCGGCAACCTTTCTTCGGAGGAAGAAGAGCAGGAGCGGAACGAGTGGCGATGTGTGCAGCAGCGCCGCAACCGCCGCTAAGCCGCTATTGCCTAAAGTTGCACTGCGTCGAGCGCTTCAGATTCCCTTGCGAAAGAAGAGCAGATCGCTTGCCTGGAAAGCCACCGCCAAGAACAGAAGCTACAGCTCCACTGCTCTTCCTTCTTCACCAGAGTGGAAAGGCTGAAAGTTTTATTGAATCGGTGTATAATTATAAACCCAATTCGTGTTGCCCACTAAACTTAGTAGGATGTAAATCCGCTAAATTTAGCGTGTTACACTTTCGTGACGCACGTAATGGGACATTCTTTTTTTAACGAAACTCTAGCCCTACACACGCACACGTAAAAAAAAAGCCGACGATCCCACCGCTAATTCATTATAAAAAAAAGACAGCCTGCAGACAGCGCCCGTGGCACGTTTCTGCTTCGTACAAAGATTGTATGACATCGGTCAAACAAAAACTGTCTGCAGGAACGTTCGAAGCATACGCACCTGCGAAGCAAAGAGGTGCATCCTCGGATAATCTTATCACCGCGTCTGCATCAAACGCCTCATCTTCCGTACGGGGACGGTTCAAGCGGGCGATGTGGACGTTGCGCCTCGTCAACCGCAATGCGAAGCGTCCGTGACACGGAACTCCTCGCGTGCATTTCAGGCGGCCAGGAGTGGCTGGTGGGGGGCATCCTGGTGGGCTTCCTGCTGCTGCTGCCCCTGTGGGGGGTGGTCGCCTGCGCCAACCCCCACGCCCGGGAGGTGCTCTACACGGGCTGGTGCCCCGTCATCTCGGCCATGGCCATCTCGAGGTGACGCCCTGTTTCCTTCGCACTGCGCTCCGCCTGGCCCGAATTGGGGGGGGGGGGGGGGGGGGAGGAGGAGGAGGAGGAGGAGGAGGAGGAGGAGGAGGAGGAGGAGGAGGAGGAGGAGGAGGAGGAGGAGAAGAAGGAGGAAGAGGAGGAGGAGGAGGAGGAGGAGGAGGAGGAGGAGGAGAAGAAGAAGAAGAAGAAGAAGAAGAAGGGGGAGAGGGAAATTTGGGAACTCTGGCAATGCGACGCTTTACGAGATCACGCTCCCGCCCCCGTACCCGCGCAAAGAGGTTGAGATTGGGCAACGAAAAAGAGGTGGTAGATTGGTCCGGCAAGCCCCTGGCCATGTAGGGGGCACACAGAGCGTGGGACGTGCCGTGGCTTTGGTGGAGTTGCAACACGGCACCTAGAAGGCGTGTCCAATTGAAGTGTTTACCGCGTCCAAAAAAGTGGTTCCTTGATTTCTGCCCGACGACATCGTACAAGTGTCATGCTTTTCGCCGCCCCCTTTACGTCCAGCCGCCAGGATCGCGGCGTCCGGCAGCACGACACTCCGGCTTTCGTCATGTCATTTGTAGCCTCTCTGGGACCTCTTTCGATGTGTGGGCAGAATGCGTTCCTGGAATCATGGTTGCGGCAAGCTTGAAAACGAGCCGATTCACCGTACACGGTTCCACCCCGGAGAACGGAGACCGAAGTGCGTCGGCCGAACGGGAATCTTGAAACGTGGCTGCAACAGAGCGGATGGATGCAGACAGCTCGCGCTGCTGGCTCTAGCTCGCCGACGTGGCCCTTCTGTCACGCTAATGCATTTTCGCGAAAAGAGATCTGACCTTACAAACTTCGATCGAGCCGACGAGCCCGGATGTAGAAAAAAAAGATGGAGTGTGTTGGACATGGTTGGTGAACGGCAGCTTCAAATGAGAAAACATTCACAGTTTGGTATTTTCGAAAAAATTGCTGAAACGCAACACTCGTGTGTGGTGCGGCCGACCAGTGGGTTGTTGCCGACGATGCGGAAAAGCGCGGGCGAGCGCGTGGCTCCGGAGACCTCCGGTGCTATCTAGCGTATGAAAACTGGGTTCCCATCGAAAGTATTTTGTGAACTAGCTACATTTCACCGGCTGTTCGATCTTCGTCTTTACTCTCCATGCGATCGGCAAACGATCGGGAATCAATGCCGATAGTAGTAGTGCTTCCTGAAATAAAATGTAAACTGCTTATCGTTATTTATTGAGTGAACTTATTATCAAACGCTCAAAAACTTATTGCTCAGCCTGCCGACTTGGAGGTTTCAGCCACGCATGATTTTGCCTTCTTGTCGCGGAACGCCTCTACATTCGGCGCTGAAATCGGCAATCACTCGTCGGCAGCTGGTCAGGGTAGTGACGACAGAAAATGAAGAGCTGCTAAAGCCTCGGTAATGGTCGAGCTTTCTTTTGATAGATAGCGCTGCGAGCCTTCTGAGCCACACGCTCGCCTGGGCTTTTTCCTACGATCCACGACTGTACACAAATCACTTCCTGCTAACTTCAAATTTCCCTTGAATGAGGCAAAATTACATGCCTGTGCACTTTGTTGTAATTTTAGTTTACACTGCTATTGAGGCAGCATTATCAAATGCCATGTAAGCCAATACTGGCAACTCCCGTGGGATCGCAGTGCCTCTGGCGAGCTCGGAGTCTCTGCTAGCAGACAAATTCTCTACAATGCATTGATTTTGCCTATCTCCATGCGTGATGACCAATGAAAAAAAATTGTCACGGGTATTCGCTGCTTTGAATGTTAAAAAATAGGTGCAACATCATGAGTGAAGGACATTTTCTTCGCGTGGGAATTATGTTAAAGCTTTCAGGGTGCAATTTTAGGGCTCTCCTGAAGAAAACACTCTGTCACAACTTATGTAAGTCAAGCAAAACATGAACATACCTTCGCGCTGTTTCTTGAAGAAGGGCAATGTACAAAAATTTCAGAACATAGCTGCATTTTAACTTTACTGTTCTTATCAATTAATTGTTGCAATTTTCATTTGTTATGAATGCCTTACTGTTCTTATCAATTAATTGTTGCAATTTTCATTTGTTATGAATGCCTTGCTTGTACAATTAAACCTGGATGTAACGAAATCCTCTATTTAACAAACTTTTTCAATTCCCCGACGCGATCTTCATAGAAGTGCTTGTATTTGTGAACTCCATGTAACGAAGTGCTCGCACTGGATAACCTTGATTTAACAAACTCGCTCCGCCGCAACTCCATTTTTTTTTTTTTTTTTTTTCGGACTCTGATAATTCAATCCTTTTCGATATTTCGGACCTAAAAACGGAACCGTGACTTACCCCATAGAAATAGTGCATATTCACGAACAATGTTTCGGACAGCTTGAAGTCCGAAAGTTTGGTTATTCGGACAAAATTGTCGTTAGCAGTCAGCGGAAAACACCACCGAGAAGCGGCCATTTTAAATTCTATGTTGGCTGCAAATGGATTGGCTTGATTTGGCAGCGCTACTGGCGCTACTTGAGTACTTCTGAGTCTTACCGCTAGGTGACGCTATGCTAACCCTTTTTTTTTTCCATTTAGCTGCACGTCAGCATCATCATCATTATTATCATTTTGTTTTTCCCGTTCCTTAGCTTCGCCATTTTGCACTCGTGATTTTGCGCCTCTTATCTCGTTCGCACAACGCTGGCTTGGACGTCCTAGCCCAATCTGTTGTTCTGCCGCCGCGATGTGTCATTAAGGAGCGCAGAAAGTACTCGACCATAACGCTAGAAAAGAAGGCAGCGATTCTCAAGCTAACAGGAAGTTGCCAAATGGAAACGGAGGCGTAACCTGAAACAAGGCACTATTTACAGCTTTTTTAAGCCCAGTCGGAAGTAATAAATGCAAGTTTTGCAATCTGCTGATTTTTCCGACTGCTCTATTATTTGGACGTTTTTTCGGTCCCTGCTAAGTCCGAATAATTGGTCGGCGACTGTACCTAAAATGCAGATATATTCTTGTCCAATTGCCACCAAAGGCGAGCAGCCTTTGGTGCCTACCGCGAGGGAGGTCTTGGATGCCATCGATGTATTACGCCGGGTCGCCGGCTCCCAGGACGACGACAGCGCTCTAAACGCTTTGGTGTCCTTTGAGCGCTGTGTGCTGCCTTCGCTCGCGCGAAAGACACAAGGCAAGCTTACAGACTTCTTTTCCACTAAATAAATGACGTGGTGAGTTTGCCCACGTGGATTTTTAATTTTCGCTTTCTTTCCACGTGTCCTCAATGAGTTTTTCCACAAAAACTGTATGTAACGAAATCCTCCATATAACGAATTATTGCAAACTTTTATCCATTTCGTTATATCCAGGTTTAACTGTAACCGTTTTTGTCGAATAGGCGAGCTGGCTAATCCCGTTAAGATTGTCTCCGAATGAAGAAGCAAACAGCAATTTTGAACCCCATACATTACTGCGATGTCAGTATGCTCTGGAAGAAGTCGATTGTTGCCATGCAAATCTGATGCCATCACTGAAATTAATAAAAGCAGAGTAACAAAAAAGCACATTTCTTCCACATGCAAAAAAAAAAAAAAAGAGGAGAGCGTTGTAGCACAAATAAAGGGGATTTCAGTCACATTTTCTGCTTTCAATGTATTCAAATTAAAAATGTTCTATCAAGAAAGCTAGAAATTAAATGTGGCATCCCTCAAGGTTTCATTTTGGGACCAGTGTTATTGCTCACATATATTAATGATATCATGACCATTCTTGATTCACCAAAGTTGGTCATGTTCGCCAATGACACAAATGTATTTTTCACTGCTAGGACTAGGACTCGCAGGGCCTATACTTTTCCATTGCGTCATCTGCTTCCGTATACTCTGAGTCTGCTAGAGGCACCACTGTCGCGTTCGCCGCTGCTCCCATGAGTTTTCGGAGGAGTTTCCAGTATCGGCAAAGCTGGCGTTATGTTGGAGAAAGAAAATATAGAGTGCTACTTTAAAACAGTGCCTTGATAAGTCAAACCCGTTGAAATCGAACTATCAAAAAATTGTCTACCAGTGCGATGTAATGGGTGATTCAATATAAAAGTTTTAATGAATTTGACAACAGACAAGCACGCCACATTTAGGAAAGTTGTTTACTCTCAAAAAATCACTTTCTGCTGACTAATTAGCCGTTGATAAGGGTGTCTGTACGTCATGAGGGATGCGCCATGCGGTTATTCAGTGGCCGCTTCTTCGTTTTTCAAGGTCTCACCGACTCACCCTATCCCCACTCCCTCCACAAAAGATTATTTTTTTTTTTGTTCCAAACAATCGACGCGGTTGCTGAAAAAAAAAAAAAAGAAGAAAGCCACCGTGCTCTGCAAGCTGGCATTCTCCCAATGTGGCCACCCTCGTTGGGGGAAAGCCAGCTTGCAGAGCAAAACGGCGCTCTTGGCAGTTCGATGTATTGGAGGGGGGATCGGTGGCCGAGTGGGCTGAAGCGCACACCCAGCTCGACGCGCGTGGAGCGAAAGCTCGTGCTGCAGAACCGAGGGATCCTGGGTTCGAGCCCCAGCCCTGCCCGTTTCGATCTGGATGAGCATCGTACCGGCGTGCGGTCGTGCATCACTACTGCGTGGTGCACGTTAAAGACCCCAGGCAGAGCGGTTGTACTGCACTGGCTAAATTGCTCATCTACAGCGTGTGACTCGTCGCAACTTTAATGGCAGACCAACTACACGCTGTATAAATATCCCCACAACCCAATTATTATTATTATTTAATGTATTGGGAGACGCTGCAATTTTTGTTCAATGTAACCACATTTTTTGCTATGCATATTCATTGCAGCTACTAGTCTGTTCAGAAATACTTTGATACAAGGGATAATTCGAATTAATCGGATTTGACTGTTATAATAAAATTTTGTTAAACATTTTTTATGATCTTAAAGGGACACTGACAGGGTATTTATGCATGCCAAGGTTTTTATTTCTACATGACATATGAGAGCCCAACTACCCAGAACACAACTTACGGCTCGAAATTCGTTTTCTTTCTCCTCGAAAATTGCCAATTGAGAACTGGCCGGTTTGGGTTGCGCTCACTGTCTTCCCCATGGTCACATGGTGTTTCCTATGGTATGGACACGACCACCGAAGAAAATCGAAGTCGTGGGTCATCAAAGGCACACACTCAATACTAAAAATAGACAAAAATATAATACCCTTTTTTGTGGCTTCTAAAAAAAAATGCAAATACGTTGATTGAAAAAGAAAAAAAAGAAAAGTAGCACAGCCATGTGTCTTCCAATAACTTTCTCTTCCTTTATATTTCTTCTACCTCCCCAGTTCAGTTTTGGTTTCAAGCAGTAGTGTTTTTTTACTTTATTAAAAATATATGATGGTGTAGCAATATATTGATTGGGTAATCTTCTGACACTGTAATAGATTGCCTGGCAAAACATAAACAATATTATTTGGTGGGGTGTCAGTGTCCCTTTAAATTATGGTCGTTTCAAATTTCACAAAACTTGAAGCTCACGGAAATTGAGGGTTTGCCGCTATTTTACAGGATTCTTGCCCTGCGAAGCTGGTCGTCACCTCAAATTCAAAGCAGTTGCTTTTCTTTTCCAGTGTTGGAGGATGTATTCTGGACTTTGCAGTATCCAGGTTTCATGGAATTGCAGTCTTTCAGCCTGTTATTAATGGTTAGTAGCGAGTCGACTGCATCATTCTGAACGTAAGGCAGCAGTTAAACATTGGACTTGTCTAATTTTTAATACGTAATAGTATTTTGAAATGTATAGTCCTAAATTTTTTATACTAACAGTTTTGTGAACAGCAATCTCAAAAATGTATTAATTTAAATCCAGAAAGGTCACTAGTTCTAAGAGGCAAATCGGAGCACAATATTTGAGCCACATTGCAATTAGCTTTAACATGAAACTATCTTTATGAAGTGGGGACAGGGTAGTGCTCTTCCACTGGCAATACATGTGTTGAATCTGAAACATTTCAAATTATCAATTAGATTTCTAAATGCGTGGAGTCAAGCCATAGCTACGGTAAAACCTATTTTCCGTCTCATTAAAACCATGCAGTACAGCCAAAGCTGCAGGGGAGAAAGTGTATTTTGAACTGTTCAAGAGGAGGGAAAGGTGGAATGGGGGAATCCCAGCCCTTCTTTCCCGTTCCTCCTTTCCCTCCTCTTGAACAGGTTGGCATACGCTGTCTCCCCGGTAGCTTTGTCTGTATTGCACGGTTTTAATGAGACAGTATAGTTCTTCTACTCTGTCTCTTTCGGCAAGCTGCAAAGGAAGAAAACATGGTAAGGAATGTTGTAGCGGGGTTGTGGAGAGCCATTATAATCGGGCAGAAACAAACTAAAACTCCCTAATAATTACATCATATCCGCTGTTGTTTGCGTTACAGCCAAAAAGAAGGATGAGAGAAAGCGGCCTTGGCAAACCGCAGCACATCTTTAGCTGTAAACAGTGATTGCATACATAAGGAAATTGCAAGTAAAAAATTATAGTGCCCTTCCACTTCACGTGAAGTTGGAGAACCTGCAAAGCTGTTATTTTACGACCTCGAGGACGATGTCTAGGATGTCTTGGACGACCTCAAGGATGACCTCGAGGACGATGTCTAGGACGACCTCAAGGACGACTTCTAGGATGACGCCTAGAGGACGACGCCTAGGACAACCTCTCGGATGACCTCAAGGACGATTTCTAAGATGGCTTCTAGGGCAACCTCGAGGACGCTGCTTAGGACGACCTCCTGGGCGACCTCAAGGACGACGCCTAAAGATGATAATGAGGGATCAGGACCTCACTATCTAATAATGCTAAGGAAGGCTGACTCACGCTGGTTGCCCCATCTTTTAATCTTTATTTATTCATACTTGCCACGACCAATGGGGAGGTTTCTGTCAACATCCGCATATGCATTTTTTCCGAGATCCTAGCGCATAACAGCTTCGCTGTAAAAATGCGCATGCGTAGAACCCCCTGCAAAATTCACACTCCCGACCAGCAATTGCCTTGCGTGCGCGCAAAGCTACTCAGCTCTCGTGTCAGGTGGCGTGTTGTGCGGTGAAGAGGCACTAAGAAGTGATGGCAGGTTGCAATGCAAGAGCTCAACTTCAACGTTTTTACAACGGAGCTGTTAAGGGCTAGTTTTCCCAGTATTCTGTCCGTGGACAAACAAATGTCGACACAAAACTCCAGACAGCTACCGCCATCCGTGAGCGACGGCGGCAACCAGACCAATGGCTTGCCAGTTGTCTGGTTGTCGCTGTCGCTCATAGATGGCGGCAACCTTTCCAGCGTTTCCACTCTGGTTTTCACCAGAGTGGAAAGGCTGAATTTCTCTAGGCGCCGTCCTAGGAGTCGTCCTTGAGGTTGTCCTTGAAGTCGTCCGAGAAGTCATTGTAGAAATCATCCTTGAGGTCGTTCGAGACGTCCTTGAGGTTGTCCTAGATGTTGCCCTCGAGGCTGTCCTTGAGGTCATCCTAGACGTCATTCTTGAGGCCGTCCTAGACGTCGTCCCTGAGGTCGTCGTAGGCGTCGTCCTAGTGGACGCCCTTGAGGTTGTCATAGATGTCGTCCTCTAGGCATTGTCCTTGAGGTCGTCCTTTAGGCATTGTTCTAGACGTCATAAAGATAACTGCGTCGCTGGTCTTCCATTTTCACGTGAAGTGGAAGGGCTCTACACTTTTTTTCTTCTCGCTTTATAAAAAAAATTTTGATTAAACTTTTAGAAATGAAAGGCAATAAACTCTTCTTCTAAATTCATTTTTTTTTATTTTTACTTTAGGCAGCAAAACTGACTTTTTCACAACTTTAGAAATGTTTTTTTTCTGTCAAGTGTTTTGTTCCACAGCTTCAAACATTTTTCATTTGTAATACATCTACAGGGCTTCTAATAGAAAAAGTTTTAATTGTCAGGTGCAAAGTGATAATTACACAAAACAATTAAGAAAAGTGCTAATGTTTATGGAATTCGTTGAAGTTTTTTTTAAAAGTATTTAACAATAAAAAATTGTATAGTCATCGAAACATAGGAAGCTCAATGTTCTTCTAATTACAAAAAATAAATGGAGAAGCATTTTAAAAAGAAATTTGTTTTTTTACTAAATTATTGAATGATGCCTAGTTTTATGCCCATTATTAAAATTCAAACCACGCTCACGTCATTAAAAAAAAATTTGGCAAAAATATTTTAAAAAAAGGTGAAAGGGCAACTCTGCTTCATTTTTGTTTTTGAAAAAAACAATGCAGTCCTCTTCAGTATCGCCTAGGAAGACCACACATCAAATATTACGACCTAGTCCTGTTTAAATGTTTTTTAAACAGTCCGGCAAACATTGCAACGTGCCAAGTTGCCAAAATCGGCTGACTTCAGCGGGCGAATTGAGGCACAACAAACAGCACGGTCAAGGCTGTGGCATTGACGTAGTCAACAGTGAGCTAAATGTCATCACCATTGCCCCTTTTTGTTTGTTTTTACTTCTCTGTCAAACGTAACGGGTGACGTCAGCAATGTGTCCTCTCTGCGCTTAGTGGTGTCCACGTGATTGGCGTTGTGCCTGCGCAGCGCGCTTCTTGGGAGTCATCCAGCCGTCCCACCATAACCGCCGTTGCACATGACGCTTGCGCCTGGCATGCGCCCACCTTGATGGTGGCCCCTCGGCCCGCCCCAATCCTGCCCGTCATCGCATAAAAAATTACGTGGCACCTCATACCACGCAATTGCCGCATTCTTGGCAGCCTGAGGCCTACGTTGCCAGACGGAGCCGAAGTTTCGGTTTCAGTTTCTGCTCACGTGTAAAGTAAGATTTAACAATATATACATGTCCCCTTTTTCACGAAGTGAATGGCGTAGTGTCTTTTATTAGTGATTTTTAATGTAAAATTACTCATTATCCCGAAAATTTCAGAATTGAACAGAGTTGACCTTTAAGTACCTCGGGGTAAAGAGCCACAAATTTTCTCCTAAAAATCGTAAATGGTTGAGCGTGCAACATCTGGGACGTTTGACATGGAACGACCCGTACGTGAAACAGAGTAATACGAGCTTTGCTTCTGCGGTGCTATACGTGGAAGGTAGTCTCTGGCCCTCCGTCTTTCGGGACTGCGAACACGCCTCCATGTGGACGTGCAGGTGTGGGTGGCAACCTCGTGGCGGTGCAAGCCAGCCGAATCTCCACGTTCTTGCACCAGAGGGCGGTGCTAGGCACGCTACCTGCTTCGGATCCTGCCATCTGCATCAACCCCTGCTCCGCCTTCTTTGGGAAGAGTGAGTGTGCCCTGCCTCTCATTTATCCTCTTTATTTACCCTTTGGAGAAAGGCAAACAAAACCAGTCTTTTAGGACACTTTGGTCGAGCCACTGTAGCCCACTTAATTTGCCAAGATACAATCTGTGTGTACCATAATTGCCCACTCTTGGATTACCTTTTTCTTCCATAAATGCGGTGCACTTTTGGAGGGAGCGCTTAGAGTCTGGCGCAAACGGATCGAAGGCAGAATTGGATTGCGCACTCCAGAAGGAACGAAGCAGGCGAAAGGCACCGGGGGAGGCGAAGACGTCGTCAAATACGGCCGTGGTGGGACTTAAACGTAACAATTATGCAGTTTGGAGGAGATTGTGGTCGGCACGACATGAGGACGACGCTTGCACGCCTGTAGGAGCGAACCCTGTGCTGAAATACTTGGGAGATGGCACGCTTTGTGGTTAAAAGTGAAGCCCGGGGATTTCATTTTCTTTTCACGGCCCTTTTAAAAGCGAAGAACCGGGTAAGTGGTAGAATATTATATCCGTTAAAATGCTGCTAAAGTGTACCTGAAGGTCTTTTTTTATGGCTCAAGTCCGAATTACGCACCCTAAAACATCCTAGACGACCCAAAATCACGACCGTGCGTAGACTTCTTTTTCTCGTTAGTAATGTGAGTAAGCGTCGCATTTTTTCTGAGACGATTGTAATATTGGGCTTTTTAGAGGCTTGGCGCCATAAAAAGACAGTCTTAGAAACTGCTCTAATGCCCTTTTAAAGCGAGGGCTGCCGCGTGATGTGACCAGTATAATCTATATTTCTTTCTAATACCGTAAAATTCCAAGAGAACGCCCGCCCCTGAGAGTTCGCCCATCCTGTTTTTCTGGCTAAATATCTGTACCATAAAAATTCCGAAACATCGCCCGCCGAAACATTCCCGTCGGACGTCACGCAGTGTCCGACGGGTATCGCATCAACCGCGCAATTTTCTGTACCGGCACGTCTGACAAGCGAGTTTATAGCGGGTTCCCGCGTTTTTGTCCGCGATCTGCGCGTGCGATATCGGCTCTTGTATCACGCGAGTTGTTCCCACGTGTGTGTTGCTCTGTGAAATGCGAATTTGCTGCGTCCGCAATCTGTGGTAGCCCTTCCCGTGACAAAGTTTTTAGCGGATTCCTGCGTTTCGTCCGCGATCTGCGTGTGCGATCTTGATTTCACGTGAGTTGGTCCCGCGTGTATATTGCATCGTAAAATATTAGGGGTGTGCGAATACTCGAATATATGAATTTGAATCGAATAGAAAGTTCCCGAATAATTCGATTCGCGAATCGAATTCCTAGTATTCGGTCACTCGTATATTCTATATATTCGGCCAAAAACGCGCAGTCGGCGCGGAGCTAACAAAAAAGACGTTTTTTCTCCCGATGTAAGTGCCGTGATGTTAGACAGACCATGCGAAAAACTGCTCTTGGTCCTACCATTCCACAAAAATTTAACGCACACGTTAGAACAAAGAAAAGTAACGAACGCTACAAACTTTATAGCACGCAGATTTACTCGCGATCGTGACACAATCTAGCCTTGAATCGCAACCGAAACATCCCGTTTGCGCCACTTCCAGAGAGGAATTGTTGGGAGGCCGGAATCTCACGCCATGCCCTTCTTTTCACGAGTAAAGCCCCTTGTTTCAAACTGAAGCACCGATGGAAAACATACTTGCTGCACTCACAGAAATCGGCGACTGCACGATCACAAAAAGAAAACCACGTTAACCACGCCGATGAAACCAGCCGAGTTATCGTCGTCATTCTTTTGGAACCGCAAGCTGCAAATTCTGATTCGGAACGAAACGGAACGGAAAAATAGTGTGCCTAGATTTGAGAGGGTTTCCAATCGTTTGATAGCCGCGTTTGAATTACGAACTGCGAGAAGATGACAAAAAGACGAAAGCGTCGATCGGGATCGGGCAGGCAGGGCAGGGAGGGCAGGCGTCGTCGCCCTTCTGCTTGCTCGCCTTTTTCCACGCGACAACACAACACATGCACACTTACGACCAATCTGCGCTGGAGCCTTCTCCGTGGTTTTAGTTTTTAAATCAAGGCTCTCTAAAACAGGATAGACAGACGGAAAAATGAAAGCGTAGCTGCAGAAAGCGTAGCTGCAGTCTTGCGCCATCTAACTACATTTTTTTTTTGTACTTCACATTATATTGTTTAAGCCTGTTTACTCAGATTTTACACCTATCTGTTTATTTATGTGAAATAAAATCCCGGGTGCCCTTTTTTTTCCTTAAAATGGAAACCAAATATCGCAAAACGCCCTTTTTCGGAGGTATACAAATATTTATAAAAAAAAAGTCAGTGTTAGGTTGTGCTTTTAACAGGAAAAAAAGGCATGCATGGCTGTAACTTTGGTTTTTTTCTGACGTTTAGGGTAGATAGATTATATTTGTGCCAAAAAATTGAATCTTTAGTGCCCAACATACAACAGCAACTGCTTTTATTTTTTTTTTATTTTTTTTTCACCAGAATATTTTTACATTTTATCTTTTGTTCCGTACAAGATGCATATTCTGCAACAGGCGCATCCTCTGCACATATACTAATAATCTCATTCGCAGCACACTTTGAAAAATTCTTACAAATAAAATTACTATTCGATTCGATATTCGGCTTTTTTTTATTGATTCGATTCGGTAATTGATTCGAAAACTACTATCCGGTATTCGCACACCCCTATGAAATATGATTCTGCTGCGTTCGCGACCTGCGGTATTTTTTCCCGTAACATACAAGTTTGTAGCGGATTCCTACCTTTTCGTCCGCGATCTGCGCATGCGATATCGGTTCTCGTGACAGACAAGTTTGTAGCGGGTTCTTGCGTGTTTATTGCACCATAAAACTTGCATCTGCTGCGTCCGCGATTTGCTGTATTCGTTCCCATGAGATGCGAGTTCTCGGCGGATTTCAGCAGGTCTTTAGGACCACGAAACGCGAATCTGCTGCGTCTGCAACCTGCGGTATCCTTTCCCATGACACAGGAGTTTGTCGCGAATTCCCGCGTGTTTATCGCATCGTGACACGCAAATGTGCGGTGTCCCCGATCTGCAGTATCAGTTCCCATATCGTGTGGTTTGTAGCCGGTTTTTGAAAGTTTTGCTGTGGCGTCCCCAAAGGTAGCCCGCCCCATGTTTTTCACCATTTATCTCTTCATTTTGGGAGGATGTTTTTTCGGAACTTAACGATAAACTTATTGAGATGCACGCGAGTGAACAGAATGCCTGTTCCAAACGCACGTGACCCAAGGCGAGGGGACGCTTGGGGAGGTCTCGCAGCGTGCTGGATGCACATATGCTCCGCGTGCCCTCTCCCCCAGGTGTCCACGCGAGGACAGCGATGGTGCTGCTGCTCATGGTGATTCCAGGCCACCTGGTATTCACGTACGGCATCCGCCTGCTCCAGGCGGGGCACACATCGGTCACCCCCATCTTTCTGGTCGTGTACCTCACCGCAGCCGTCATTCAGGTGAGCGGGGAAGGGGGGCGGGGGCATAGTCGCACTCCCCGGCTGGCACCGGAAATTACCACGTCCTCCCTTGGGGTCCTTCCATCTTGGCCCAGCGACATCATAAATACAGTAAAACCTCGTTAATTCGGATCTCATGGGACCGGCAAAAATGTCCGAATTATCCGAAAGTCGAGATATCGAAAGGGCAAAGAAAACTGTGCGAAAACGTCTCCCTGTGACATATCTTTATTTTGAGAAGAAATCTGTTATTACCGCCTGCTTTCTGGACGACACTTGGGCGGAGACGACAACTTTCCTTAGCGCAGTCGAGTGCTCCACCGCACTCGCACTGACGGAGCTATGCATCCCGTGCGCTGACAATATAGCACAGCAAGGCCTCTTCTAGTTTCGGGTGCACCACCTTCCTCGGTTGCTTTCTTTTCGCGTTGAACTTCTCGCTCTCGAAAGCCCGTAGGATATCGGCCTCAATTTTCACGTACGTGGCCAAACTGTTTCTCTTGACGTCGTAACTTTCCATCACTTGTCGAGAAACGTCGTCCTTCAAGGCCCTCAGTATTTCCACTTTCGTCGCTAAATTCTTAGCCTAGTACAGCTGCAACGGAAAACGAGTAGCACAACTGACCAATAATCGGAGCGGCAAAATCGCAACACCCGGCGCTAACTTTCCCGAGCGCGCCGATAACGAGAGTGCCAATCACGTTGCATTTTTCAACGCGGGGGTGGCCGGCGAAAAGTTGAGGAATAAGATAGCTGTTAAAATGGTGGGCTTTAGGATCCCCGTGTTGAGGCATAAAACGTGACTGTCACTCTCGCTATCGGCACGTTTGGGAACAATAGCCTTGCGTGTCACGATTTTGCCATTCCGGTCGTCGGTCGCTTGTGCTACCCTTTTTCCGTTGCAGCTATGTTTCTGGTGCTTCCATGCCAGGAGAGTAACGCGCTGAAGCACGGCAATCCAGAGCAAAACTGGTGCGAAACACGGAGAATTGGAAGAGCGAAGAACCATGGGAAAACCGGAAAAACCACGTGTGCACCTCGGATGGATAGCGGTCATACCCTTTGGAACGGACGGTAGCTAGCACCAATTGCCGAATTCGTCCGAATTAACCATAGTGCGCCGCGTTCCCTCCGAATTAATGAGCATTTGCTGCCATTGACTAATACATACGTTCGACGGGACCGGATCGACAGTTCAAATTATCCGAATTTCCGAATTAGCGGGGGTTGAATTAACGAGGTTTTACTGTAGTGTAATATTTTTATCGACCGCAGTCTCGGCGGTCGAGCAGCAGCGAAGGGGATTGTTGCAGACGCTCGTTCTGCCGCATCATGTTCGGCAGCCAGACAGTTGTAGGAAACTAAAGCGAAAACGAGATGAGGCACCACATAGAGAGCAACACTTGCATTCCTTCGTACTTTTTACGAGAACATTTTTGACCAACCACAAGAATCGCGGCGTTTGAGGGCACAACAGGCCGGCCTCTGTACGTAATTTGTTGCTGCTTCAAGACCACTTTCAACGCATGGGTGGTATGGGACGCCGACACGCCGATTAAAGACGTGTTCGAGGCATTGTAGCCCGTGGCCACCCATTTTCGAAAGGGCAGAGCCAGCAGCCGCCCAAGTACGACGGAGCTGGTAGTGGGTGGGGTAATGTGGAAAGCTTGCCGAACGTTTTGTGAGCCGACTTCGTACACCGAGAAATGGTTCCGCCATTTCAGTAAAGTGTTTGGGGACGTCCTCAGTTGGCCCCCCATGTCCCTTGTCGCCCCTAGTCATGCCAACATCCCTAATTGTCCCCACGTCTCTATTCATCCCCACTTCCCTGGTTGTCCCCCTATCCCTAGCTGTCTCCAGTTCCCTAGTTTCCCTCACGTCCAGAGTTTTCCTGAACACTAATTTCTATGACAATTGCTGTGTCGCGCCTCCCTGCTCCGCAAATGCGCGGCCACCGGACGACCATCTTGTATGTACTGAAGTCGATCCTTTTAAGTGTTGCAGAGTTTGGGCTGCGGCGTGATGAAGACACGTTTTCTTGCTTGCCGTCATTTGCCGAAGGATTCTTTTTTAAAACGTTGTGTAAACGGTCGTTGTTACTTTTGAGAACGTGGAAATTTTTGCAAACAAGCAGCACTGCAGGAAAAAGGCATAACTCATCGAACATAAGTCTCACCGATGTCGCGGCGTGATCAAAGCTTCCTTGGCACGCCAAAGTGCTGCGTCTCTGTGCCTTTGCATGCTTGGATACCGATCAAGAATCGACGCCATGTAATTGGGTTTTACGAGTGCAACGTGCCTGAAGGCGACCCTAGTTAACCGCCCAACCTTGCCCCACCACCCCCGTGCAGGTGTTCCTGCTGCTGTACATTGCCCACGTGATGGTGCACTGGATGTGGACCCGACGAGTGGACCCGGACAACTCGGCCATCCCGTACTTGACCGCCCTGGGCGACCTGTTTGGCACCGCCCTGCTGGCCATCTCCTTCTTGCTGCTCAGCGCCATCGGCGACGGGGACTCCGACGTGGGTGACTGAGGCGGTTGTCCCCGCTCTGCTCTTTGATGCACACTCTCTCCCCTCCGGTCGGTGGGAGCCGTTGCAATCTGGACTTGTTGGGTCTGCAGCACATTTCGACTCGTTAGTTCGCTTTCGCTGGATGCCGTGGGACGGCGGTGCGTTTTGAAGGCACTCTCGTACAGCAAGCACCCACAGAACCAAACTGTGTACGAAAATGGGCCTCGTGAATCGGTGAATCGACAGCCGACTCGAGAACCGTGCGACTTAACAACCTTCCACGATGATCGTGAGTCGGGGAAAGGCGCTATGGTGGAGAAGCAGGACTCAATTGGCTTCCATTTGGGATGGAGCGTGACTTGTGCCCTCCGGGCAACTGGTGTGCCGCTGAAAAAATTCACCTTGTCCGGGACTAGCGGAGCATTTTACCGACTGACCTAACCAAGCTATGGTCTGTTGCAGGCTAAGAAAATTGGGACAGGCTCCTGCCACAAAGCCATCTATTCTTTTCACTTTAACAGTGGAGGGAGAGAGAAAAACCACCAATAATGACGGGCAGAGAGCTGTGTTTTGTCATGCTTTTTCCCGCAACAGACTGTAGCCGTCGATAGGGCAAACGTTGGCTCTATTGACAGCTGGGTGCTCGCCCTTGTGGTGTGTATGGTCAAGATAGGTGGCAACTGATAACACTGGTTTGCTCTGCCGACGGCTAATTCCCGGTTAGCCCAGTTGGTTGAGTGTTCCGCTAGTCTTGGAACAGTCCCGGGATTAATGCCTGGACCGGGCGGATTTTTTCAGCAGCTCGACAGCAGTTGCGTTCCATCTCAAGTCAAAGACAGTTCACTCTTTCAAAAAATTTTCAACGAAGGCATGTTCTGGCGGTTTATTTAGCGGACAACGAAAGTTTGGTCTCGTCGACGTGTGGCAACGAGCGGAAAATATGTTGCAACTTGGGAGTTTGGTTGGCATCTGCGAATAGTAAATTTTGAGTTTGAAGCAGATTATTGTTTTGGCCAGATATTTTCGAATCCAATATCGAAAGTTTCTCCAGAGCTTTCACTACTGTTGCACCATGCTTAAAACGAAAACCCAGCTGAAATCATCAACGTTATTCCCAAGCTGCCACTCGCAAATTCTCAGCTATGTTAGTTTTAATTTAATGATATTTATGGACTGTGGCCTGAGAAGGTCCTGGGCTATATTAGGATAGCGAGTAAACGATGGCTTTGACATAAAATTAAGTCTACTGAGATGGTGAGCTATACCTAATCGAGGGAATTCATAAATCTTGCTACATGCAGATAAGTCTGCTTTTCTCCGAAGCATGCAACTGCGATATTCATACTTTCTCAAATGTTGATAGTGGCGGGTTAGCCCCGTTAAGCGTGCTTCTTACCAAGCACCGGTGCACTGCGGGGAAGCAACGCACGTGGAGCTCGCTTCCTCGGGTGTTGCTTTTCTGCAGTGTGCTCGGTAAGAAGTGCACTTAACGTGGATAATTCGTCGCTATCAACGCTTCAAGAAGTATGAATATCGCAATTCCTCTCGAAGCAAATATTGAATAGCATATTATTTGAAAATAGTATTACACTAGTATATTTTCACAGCCCTAGAGTTTGGCATCCGAGTCTGAAAGCGGTGATGAGGCGAACCTACCGCATGAATGCCTCTTTTTTGAAGAGATGCTTCTAACTGCGTCAAACCAGATTAATGATTTCTTTAACTTTTTAAAGTTGTGTATTTGACTGCTGATTTACCTGGCCCATTTTACACGGGCCTTGGCACCATGCATGTGCAGTTTTTTTTATCTGGCAAGCCTCGGCTGACAAGTTTTTATTGTGTTTTAAGTTCTGCAAGGGCACCTCTGCGTTTCTCAATTGGGCTACTGATTTTGAGGTTGCGGAGTCCCTTGTTTTACCCTCGATTAGTAAGCTAGGGTCCGTTTCATTGTTGTGGCTTAATACACCTCATTTTTATACTATTTATTCACGAAATGTGGAGGTAATAACGTTTTTTTTTGGGTTAAAAAGGCTTCTTGCCCCAAATTGGAGTTGATGTGGACGTCATAGTAAGGTACCATCTGATTTGGATTAGCTTGCGAAACACTGGCAAATGAACAGGGTAAGCGCGGCAGAAAAATGCAAATGCTTCCACTAGGAACAGACAGACTGACGACTTTATACAGTGGCCCATTGCTCCTGGTTGTGTGTTTTATTTCTTGTCCTACCTCTTGTAAAATTTTCACTTCTTTTTTTTTTTTTTTTCATTTTTTATGTTGCACTGACATACAATAGTAGGCCTAAGTGAAATATGTGTGTAGACTTTTTTGAAGGCAGATTTTAAAAAATCTGACAGTGTTTGTTTCTTTTTTTTTTATGCAGCTACATATATTTTTTTGTGGAAATTGAGTACTATTTACCTATCTCAAACAATCCAGAAAGAAAACTCGGGCCTCCAAATCACGGAGGTTGCACTGCACTTTCCGCGCAGATCTTTTGTACCCCTCTAATGCTTTTTCAGCGTTGGCGGCCAGTGGATAGGTCTGCTTCTTGCGCAGGAGTTGCGGTGACGTCAGAACGACGCTGAGCTCAGATTGACTTTGATTGAAAGGATAGTGGGTAGATGCCTTTAAGGTCTTCCCACTACTTATTTCAATGAGTCAATAAGAGCTAAAGGTTCTGACATCATCGCAATCTGTGTGCAAGAAGCAGACGAACTTGCTCTCCGCACAGACCAACGCGTGAACCAGACGTCACGCTTTGCGGTGGCGCTGCTGTCGGCGCAGCACATGCGAGACATTTCATCTCACACGAATCTAGTTTCTGCACATGCGCAGTGCCCACGCCTGGTGTGGGCAAATGCAGGCTTCTTTTTAAACAGCACACTGGCATATAGGGATACAGTGAATTTGTAATCATTGTACTTGAAGGTTTGAAATGCAAGTGGCCAGGGCTCAAAACCTCTATTGTCTCGGCATAGTTTACGTTCCATTCCACGATTAATGATGCAGTACGTCTCTATTATTTCAACCGAGAAATTTTTCCGTAAAAGAGAAAGGTGGTCGGGTGCAGGGCACAAGCCCCGCGTGTGACCTCCTACCGCGATCATTTGCCATGGGTTTTCACGGCAGATGCATTGACTCAATTCAAGGCGACGCAAATGTCTTCCAGATTGTAAGGCCCCACCGGCCGGGGCACTGTTCGCAGGCATGTTTTCGTTTTCGACAGTTCTTCTTGCGACCTTGTCAGTTTCTAAGATGTATGTTCCTCGGAGAGTTGCACCTATCATGGCACCTGCCAGGGACTGCCGTGCACGGGGTCATGGTGTGGCACGGTAATTATGCGTCGACTGTGCTGGAGTGTTTTTGCAACTTTCCTTTTTGTTCGCTTTCTTTGTAGGAAAGAGTTTACTTTTTAAACCGGGATGCCGTCATGTTTTGAATTGTAAGTACCTAAGAGCACTCTGTGATCACCACCGGCGTCTCTTTGGGATGTTGATGCATGCCGGTTGGTAATGTGTGGGGGATGTTTCGATACTAATGCGTGGTTAGACCAAATAACTACAAATTCTGTCAGCTTGGTTGCTTTCTTTTGTGTTTTGTTTTAGCTGGACATTGCCTATAACCCAACTCTCGCATGATTTTATGCTTTAAATAGGGCTGCACTTTGCTGTTAGCTGCTCGGGATTTCAGCGAGCGTATTACTTGCAGTGGGATGTTTTCAAATACTATAAAATATTACTCCTGAACTTTTTTCCTTTTTTTTTATAGTTTTTTATTTTAGTTTGTAGTTCTTTGTTTCTACATTTCGTGGGTTTTAAGTGGAAAGCCATGATACTTTAAACTTCAACTCAACTCATTATTATTATTTCTTTTTTTGCATGCTTACTACTTTTTAATAACCTAATTTTTGTATGATGATAATCTTCCTACTATTTATTTTATAACATCTCAGGATTCGATGTTGCAAAAGTGTTCATACATGATGAAGAAATTAAGAAAAAAAACAGTTATTAGCTTCGGTGCCCTTTTAACCTTTGTTCAGTCATCTTTGTTTTATGATCACATGCAACTTTTTTTGCCCTCTGTACACGGATGTGTGTGCAAATTGTTTCTCCGTTTTCAGGTGTTTGAGTACTTGTTTTAAAAAGAAATGCCCAGTGCTTTACGCATACAATTTTATGGGAATGCCTCTAAACAGTGCAAAGGACACATGCAAGTTCAAGCAAGTTTCAAACTTCATTCATACTTCTAGAGCACCCTCGGTTTACGAAAATTTTATTTGCATTGTGTTTGTGGGGAATGCTGTTTAAGGTTCCAAACTCTGCTTGCACTTGCACGTCTGCCGTCACACGTGGATTCGTGGTGTTGCATGAAGCGGGGATTTCATGTTTCTTGCTGTCCCGCTGTCCGTCGTCCTCTGCATTTCCTTCCGTTGTGAAGAAAAGGTGCCGACACGTTGTGTAGAGTGCGCGCTGCCAACGGTGTTGACCTTGCAAGCACTGTGATGGTCCTCGGCAATCAAAGGAGGCCGGAACCCGGAGCACTGTGAGAGACAGCTCGAGCTCACAGCTCCGGGAAATGTGCGAACAAATTGTAGTTGCGTCGTCGTCGCCGAGGGTACTGGGGGGTTTAGGAACGGTTCAGATTCATGAAACGTACCAGTGTGCAACTGTGCAGTTAACACCAAAAACATTTTGTTTCTCATACGTTCCGCGTTCTGCAGCAAATGGAACACGTTTTGCCTCACCTTGTTTGGTGGACTGTTGCTCGCTGCTCTCGGGTTGTTTAAGGAATGTGTGCAACTGTGGCAGCGATCAGTGCTTCAGGAAAATGGCTAGAAGTCTGCATCGGGTGCACCACGGTTTTAATGCTTTTAGGCAGAGATTGAACTTTCACTACACCCATTTGTTTTGTATTATATCACTGCAGAAACAGTTATGCAGTAGTACTTTTCTTGGAAGTTCTGAATGCGACAAATACTTGTCCAAAACCTTCAAGGGCGTTTAACCGACACATTCTCCATCTCCACCGTTTATGTGGGTGGGCAGATATTCCAGCGGCTCTCGTGTGCTCATCTTCCAATAAAAATAATTAAATTTTTACTTTTTTTTTAATTTTGAGTTTAGGATTTTGGTGGGTTTTTTTTTTTTTTGTGCTAGATTTAAGTGTCTTTTCTACCTAGACTTTGCAGACCTTGCAGTTTCTGCCAACCCACCTCGCTTCCGCGACTAGTCATGCTTGCGCAATGGCGTACTCCACCGATGGGAGAGTCAAAGATATTTTTATACCACTGTTGAATCGTGTATTTTTGCATAATGCAGTACTTCGGGTTACTGAGACTGAGAACTGTTGACCGTTTGAAGAAGAACAGAGCCGGTTTTCGTGACGTCTGTTTGCTTGCTCGGCCCAGCGTCGTCCGAGCACCGAAACACTCAGCCAGAGCTCCCTTCTTACGCGCGTTTCTAAAATGATGTATGTTTGAATTGTGCTGAATACGTTTTTTTTTTCCCTCCTCTAAGCAGGAAAGGACTGTTTAGAAATTCCTTCCATTTGTATCATGTTTCAAGGTGTTCCAGATGTACCATCATGTTGTGTACTTAATGATGCAAAGTATGAACCACAAACACCATCAAGTTGGAAGTAACCAAAACTGTTTCTTTTTTTATTTGCAAATAAAAGCCAGTTGGTTTATGTCTGTACCTTGCAATTTTATGCGGAACGAGCGTGAATGGCGATAACACCATTTGGTGTCATCGGAGCACACTTCATCGGAGCACAAAAGGGGTTTTCCGTCTTGCATTAAATGAACTATAAGTTTTCTATGCTTGGTATTTTTTGGTGACACAATTTGGCATAAATTTTAAGCTGAAAGCCTTACTTTTCCTATTGTGCGAATAAGCGGCGTCATTGTGCAAGAAAGATGGCCATAAAAAATGAAAGCCATTTACAACTCCCTGTAACGCCGAATTAGAGCGCAGCTCTTGAGGAGGAGGAGGGAAGGGTACTAAGGGGAGGGTCAAGTGACCTCGGCTCGCGGGGGGGGTCACATGACCGTGGGGTGTCACGTGACCGTGGGGGGTCACGTGACGATGCCGATGACGTCATCAGTGACGACGATGCGGATGCCGGTGACGTCATCAGTGATGTCATCAGTGACGATGACGATGCTTATGCCAGTGACGTCACTGATGACGTCATCAGTGATGATGGCGATGCAGATGCCGGTGACGTCATCAGTGATGATGACAATGTGGATGCCGGTGACGTCATCAGTGATGATGACGATGCGGATGCCGGTGACGTCAACGGGGGTCACGTGACCTTGGGGAGGTCACGTGAGCCCGGGGGGGGGGGGTGGTCACGTGACCCTTGTGAGGGTAACCCTATTAACCCTTGTGAGGGTAACTCTCGTGACCCTCGTGAGGGTTACTCTCGTGACCCTCGTGAGGGTAACTCGTAACCCTCGTGAGTGTAACTCTCATAACCCTCGGGGGGTAACCCTTTTGAGGGTAACTAACCTTCGTGAGGGTTACCCTCGTAGCCCTCGTGAGGGTAACCCTCGTGAGAGCAACCCTCGTAACCCTCATGAGGGTTCCTCGCGGTTACGCCGACGGCGACGCCGCTCAGGCCGGGAACGGGCGCCTAAGAGCTGCGCTCTAAAATATGTCATCAAGCACGCGCCGCTGAATCATATGCTCAAGGACAATGCCATGCTTGAGATTGTTCTCGACTTTGACGCCTAGGCGTCGTCCTCTAGGCATCCTTGATGTCGTCCTCGTCCTCGTCCTAGACGCCATCCTTGACGTCGTTCTACAGGTTACTCTTGATGCCGTACTGGGCGTCAATCTCTAGGACGTCGTCCTAAACTTTAATGCGTGTAGAAACATTACTCTAAAACATTTCTCCCGTGGAACTATAATGCTTTGCCTTTCTATACCCGTTTTCACCTCAAGAAAAAAGCAAGTTTTGCGCTATGTTCATACGCGGCGCGAAATAGTTTTTACGAGATTTGGCTATCGGAGGAAAAACCGATGCTTTTGGCGATTGAAGCGTGTTCGTCTGGATAAGATAACGTGCATATAATCTAACATTCACCTACATATCTCTTACTTATCCACATAAAGGGGGAAATTAGTAATGATCCGCGTGGCGCCGGACTTTTTTTTACTATGGTTCTTGAGGTGAAAACGGGTATACATGTAAGCAGTCTTAAGTGTCCCCCTATAATTTTGTTGATTTTCGCGATGTAAAATAGTAGATATTAATCGGCCTTTAGTCAACATGAAAATGATACTAACACATAAATCGGCGAAAAGCAAAGTAAATAAGCTAGCATCTGTACACAGAAGCGAGCAGAAGTGCAACAGTATGAATTAAAAATGTTTCACTGGTTGCTTCAGCCTTGATGTTATTGTTATTATGACTGCCATTTACATTCTTTGAACTCTAGCTGATCAGTAAGATTTTTGGTGTTTAGTTTTACCAACTATCTGTGGAAAGCAAATTTTTGTTTTACATTTGTGGGCATTTCTTGGCTTTTACAATCGCCAAAGCTTGTGAGCTTGTGCGTAGTTGGTGACAATCCGGTGGACTACTCTGCATTTATTTTAAATGTTTTTTTTTTCTTGCATCACTCAAATTTTACATTTTTGTTTATGTCCACATTACAGCATTCATATTGGGATGGTGGACCGGTATCGGCTGGGACAATGCAGAAGTTAGCTGACTTTTGCCGCAAGAATAGACCGCACCTTGTCGCTAGATGAATACGACGTCCTCTCCCGTTTAGTGGGCTTCTTCCTGTTTATAAAAAGACAAAGCTAAGGATCTCGCAAACTGTGCAAGGTTTCACTTAAAACGCCAAGAGCTTTGCGAGGGTCAACTCGAACATGCTTTGATTTAAACAAATTTTTGCGTTTAACACTCCAGAGCAAAAATGTCCAAAAGCGTGCACCCTGGCACACATACAATACTACTGGAAACCCACAGACTACAAATTCTGTAAAGGTTTTCAATCGTGAAACTTTTCAGATGCCATTGGAAGTTCGTCAACTGTGGGTTCTCAAACTTCTTTTTTTTTCTTTCTGCTTGAGGAATACCAATCTCGGTCTCGATTGATGGCCGAGGAGTTGCCTCACGGTCTTGGCATTGGTGCTATAAAGCAGTGCAGGAGCCTGCGGACCTTGTACAGCAGTAATGACAGGGTGAGAACAGCAAGGCAGGTCTTTGGAACACCAAGCTTTCAGCACACTCCCCATAGCTTCCGCCATGTTTTGGCTGCACGTGTGCGCTCGAAGCGCATGAGACGTCAAGGCGTAGTCAAAGGTATAGAAAGCCGGTGCTGGAGGTGAGACAACCAAATCTCCCTCCCGTTCTCACCTTGTCACTTACAATAGGGGGAATTTTCTGCATGCTCAAGCTCCAATGGATGGCTCGGATCTTCTAAAACAAAATTTTGCACTGAAAGAAAGCTACTTGGAGGCAGAGACAACCGAGGAAGTTTGCAAGCTCGAGGAACCTCCTCAAGGATACGCTGGAGGACCCATTTTGACGACCCGTGGCCCTGTCGGTGGATCAGAAAGTTTGGCATCTACCGAATCCATAGATCAATAGTTTGAATACTACAATCTTTTGAACCTCGCCCTTCCTAAAAAGTTTCGCCATCCTTAGACAAGACCGATATGAGAAGGTCTGCTGTCCCGCATTCTTGCCACGTTCTCTATCTGGAAGAAGGGCAGAAAGTCGGATTCTGAACAGACAGTGCAAGGGAGGATTGCAATAGGTTACGAAGTTGAATTTGCTGGAGCTCTGGACAGGCACAGCAGCCATCCTACGCGGGACGTGGTCCGGAAGTGTCAATACACCAATGATTGGGTTACGAAGTCCGCAAAAATTTCAAGGTGTCGCAGGTAAAGGTTGCCAAGTATTTCGTATCTGAATGCTGCAGAACCGACAATATCAATGTACTATCCCAGCTAGTGCGAGGGACAACGCCGCAACGGATGGTGCAATAATATACGTACCAGTTGTGAAATGCTCCGCTAAGGTTGACGGACGCAACAAGCACACTCGTGCCACTCTTAACTTCGTGCCTTAGTCTGTTAACAAGACGGCGATCGTGCAGGCAGACATTTGTTTGTGGACTCAATATTAATTGAGAACTCTTGAGACTTTTTTATGGTTTATGGTACCTCGAAGTCCACGAATTCTTTGGAAATTTTTGTAGGCAGAGGGACCTCTACATCAAAAGTGAGGTGCGAAAGGTAGCACTATGCATTTTCTTTGAGGTGGCAATAAACATCCTCTCAGTTCATGTGAAGGCCACTACCTTCGTCGAGCAATCTTGCACAAGTAAGAGCGCTGCTTCCAATGCATTTTAGGGGCGAAGGTCTTTGGGGGCTAGCCATGTCCGTATGTCCGTCTGCCGTCGGGTGCACGTGCTCCTGCTCGTGAGCTCACATGCTCGTGTAGGGAAAAAAAAAAATGCATCTCCACATGGTGAATGATGTTGATTGGGGCGAAGCTCTTGTGGTGCTTGTCTGCGTAGATGGTGAGCCGCAGCATGCCGAGCCTTTCATTCGTTTTCATCCATGTCAGAAAGAGAATGTCTGGTATTGAACGTGGTTATATACGCATTTGAGCATTTGACTGCAGCGTGACATGGATGAAAACGAACGAAAGGCTCGGCATGCTGCGGCTCAGCATCTACGCAGACAAGCACCACCAGAGCTTCGCCCCAATCAACATCATTCACCACGTGAAGATGCGTTTTTTTTTTGTTGTTGTTTTTTGTTTTTGTTCAAAGGATTTTGGCAAGTCACGACAACAACAACTTGCATATCTATCATTTTGTTGACATAATTTCTAAGGCTGACTGGCACATCTGCATAATTGCTTTTAGAGATGCATCTTGGAACCAAGTAAATGACGACAAGATAATTTTAAGCAGTGTTTCTTCATGTTCAAATTTCCTGTATGAATATTTAGAGTGAAAAGTTGGATTGCCTCAAGGGGTGCTTGGAGTCTCCACTGTAGATGAGCAATTTGGCCAGGGCAGTATGGTCGCGCATCTTATGTCTCCAACACATGTCATGCAGTATTGCTTACACAAATGAACAGCCAGTACGAGTACCACTCCGATCAAAACGGGCAGGGGCGGGGACCAAGCCCAGGATCCCCGATATCTGCACTTCAAAGGTCCTAGATTTTTTTACAGGATTACAACCTACAACCAAGAAAAAATATTTGCAAATAAAATTCTTAATTAAAAAAAATTAGGGTCAATCAAATGTAGTGTTTCAGTTTTATGACCACCAAAAAATATTGAAAGCATGTTGGTTAAAAGAAACCTTGGATGCAGAGTTGTGGCGAGTGAAGCCCAAGCAACTTCCGGAACCTTTTGCCACATTCCTCTGGCTTTATTTTCCTTTTTAATCTGACAGCATTAACTGGTCCTATGGAGCCAAGCTGGCATTGTTTGTAGCAGAGAAACGGCACCTAAATTCCCATTGGCTGCTACGCATCGTGTGGCTCCATAGCAACGGTGTCGTCATTGCTAAGGAGCCAGCCGAACTGCTGGCAGTGCAATGGGAGGGGTTGGTCACAGGCATGCACTGGCCTGACATTAGGCCTATCGTTATGCTTTGAGGTCTAATGTCGTCAAGCAGTACATGCAGCTGTTCGACGCCAGGGGGAGACGCAGGTATGCACTGGCCGGATGTTAGGCCTAGCATTGCGCTTTCAGGTACAACTTCGTTAACTGGTACCCGCAGCTAGGGCGATGATGAGAGGACACACAATTTTAGTAAGTGCCGCGCCGAGCTTTACACTCCCATCAGTGCTTTAACCAGCAGCGCAGCAGTCGCTAGCGGGCCAGGGCTGTCTGCGCGGTGCACTGCTGCACTTCCTGCCAGCGCTGTAGCCGCTTCTTCTCTCGGCGCCGAGAATGCTTTCGCATTCACAAGTCATAAGAAGTGCTTAGGTATCCTCAGAATTTTTTTTCAAGCAAATATACGACACTGTAACAAACGAATAATTAACAATACATGGATTCCCAAGTTCGGAACCTGAAAGTGAAACCTTGAAATTTTCTCAATTGACCCTACAACTGTACTCCGTGTCACTAGTTATGTGCAGTGCAAGTGAAGGCAACGCCAGGCGAAAAGAGAAAGGGCGAGTACTAGGAAGGCGAGACAGAAGAAGAGGACAGTGGAGTGCGAGGGGAGAAAGGAAGAGCAGGTTTCTCCTTGTCTCCAGCCTTCCTAGTGTTTGCCCTTTCTCCCCTTGCCTAGCGCTGCCTTCACCTATACTGCATGCAGCTAGTGACCGAGCACGTCACGAGCCATGCATTGATGCATAGCTCCGAGCTCCACACAGCCTAGCATGTACATATCCGAGTCGCTTTTTGCAACAATAACAAGAAAGTGGAAAGCTCCTCGACTATCCCCCAAAAAAGTTGAGTCATCCTTGAGAACAAGAAGTTTGAAGGGGTGCTTTATGAAGAAATACCATTTTGATTCTCCCCAGTGTTACGTTCACATGCACACTGGGAACGAGATCTGGACTAGAGAAAAGGAGGTAGACAAAATCCGTTTGGTGTAAATATAGCTTTCAAGTGTGGTGAGGCAACTGTGTTTGTTTGAAATCGGCAAGGCAGTCGGCCCCAAATGGTGTCTGGCATTGCTGCCGTAGATGAGAAATTGAGCCTTTACAGTATGATTGCTAGCCTGGGGTCATTAAAACGCACTACGCAGCAGCGATACACAACTGCTTTCCGTATTTAACCAGATCGAAATGGGCAGGGATTAAGCCCAGGATCCCTGGGTTGTGCGGTGCAAGCCATTGTTCCACGTGCTCAGAGCTATAATCATGAGTAATGGAAACGTCCTTAAATTTTATAGGCCTCTTTCAAGCGCCCGTGCGACGGGGGCATAAATTGTACTTAAATCTTTCAGCAAACACCAGATGCAGCGGCAGTCGCTGCATCTGGTGTTTGCCATAACTGCGGTGCCTGGAACGTGACTCCGACCGGTGTGCGTTTACTACGTCCTCATTTGTGGTCTCTCAATTTCTACCTGACGACATAACGCTTGTGTCACATAGTTGCCCGCTGAAATCCTGGCGGTAGGCAGCAGTGAAGGTGAAAACGACTGGTGCCTTTTCCGCTGCAGGTAACTATCCAGATTGACAGTCCACGGAAGCTTCAGCAGCCAGATGTCGCTGCGATGACGGCAACACTTGAGGTCGTTCGTCTCTTTTGTCAGTACTTCTACGACCGACCAACTGCCAGGATCGCGACGGCACGGCACTCCGGTCCCTGTGAAATTTGTTGCTACCTCGGGACTACTTTCGATGCACAGTTTGATTTAGGATGAAAAGAGACTGGTTGAAGTTCCAGACATTTTACCGCAGCAGTTAGATTCCCAAAATGGAGTCCTTGGGTGATGCGGAACCGCCATCTGCCAATCATGCCCGGGCTAGGAGTCGTGCACTTTGACGACGACCTTACCGACGCTCTTCCCTGAGTGAAGGTACTCCACGCCTCGAAAGCAGCCGTCCAAACCCAGCAGCTCGCCGCCTTCGGCGTTGGCTCCAAGGTCCACCTTGGGCACCAGCCTGCCCTCCTGAAGCATCTGTGTGAGCTTGGCCACGTACTGGGGTATCAGGTGAGCATAGTCCGACAGCAGAAAGCCGCTCACACTGGTCGAACGACTCAGCAGCTTGTAAGGGAGGTCGTGGAGATCCACGTCCGGGAAGGGCTTGTCGCTGTTCTGGTACCCCGAGATGGCGCCTATCACCACAAGCCTCCCCCTTCTGGCCAGCCGCTTGAGGAGGGTGTCGAAAGTCTTGCCTCCTACAGTCTCCCAGACCACGTCCACTCCCCTGGGGTAGGCCTTCTGCAGCTCGGTGCTGAGGTCCTGCGTCTTGTAGTTGATGACCTTGTCGCAGCCGATGCTCTTAAGGTAGACCTCCTTGTCGGGCGAGGAGCACGTGCCTATCACGTGACACTTGGCCGCCTTGGCCCACTGCACGGCCAGATGACCTAAGCCCCCGGCGGCTGCGGTGACGAGGACCGTTTCACCTTCCTTGATCCTGCCCTGCTGGTCCAGTCCCATCGCTGCGGTGAGTCCGCTCACGAGAAGCGGGATGACCTCGGGCACCGCTGCTGGGATCGGGAACGCCTTTGTGGCTTCGGTGAGCTGGTACTCGGCGAAGGCACCGAACTCCGGAAAGTTGAGGGTGGCCACGGCGTCGCCCACCTTTAGGTGTCCCACGCCGGCGCCGACGGCCACCACTTCGGCGACGGACTCGAAGCCGATGTCGAAGGGTGGCTTGGTGGTCCCGCCGTACCGGGCCGCGGTGGCGTTGATGTCAGACGCGTTCACGCCCGCGTACTTGGTCTTCAGAAAAACTTCGTTGGCATTCAGCGAGGCGGGTGCGGGCACCGTGACGACAGATACCGCTTCCCTGAAGTTCGGCGACGTCTTCGTACAGACTAGTTTTTTGTACTCCTTGGGCAAACTCATCGCAGCCGCTGAGGAGTGCAGTGGCGATGCTTTTGGTCTGGCTTCGGGGGCCGCACCGCGACAGCTTGGCTGTCGAAGCGCTAGTAGTCTGACTGACACATATCGCGCAAACATGATAGAGCTCAAACGTTTATAAAGAAAAGCAACAACAACAGATCACAGAATCCCACCAGACCAAACGCCGTAAACAACGCTCACCGCACCTGACGGTATCTTATCGTTCGAATGCAGGCGTCCGAGACCTGTGAGACTGTCTTTTGGCTGACCTAAATGCCGCCGTGCTCGAAGATCGGTCGTGTTTACGAAATGGTTTGATGATATCTTGTTTGATTTTGGATCTCTGGAGGAAAACGGTTATCGCTGCCCGTAGCAGGACAACGTGGGAGAACGTAGTTTGGTGGTTCAAGCAAATGCCGCCAGAGGTCGAGACACGACACACCTAATGAAAACCCAACGAAGTCAGGAGAGGCACCCAGGGTTAAAAAGAGGAGAAAACATAAGAACAGGTATAAAAAAACAGCACAATCAGACATTGGATATATTAACATGCAGGGTGGTAGAAATAGGTTAAAATGGGAAGAGGTAGAGGAGCAACTAAGAAAGGAGGATTTAATGGTGTATGGGTTTGTGGAAACACATCTCAGAGACATGGAGCAGCCACCTTGCAACCCTGACTATGTGTGGGAAGAATGCAACAGAATGGAGGGAACGAGGAAGGGAGGTGGAATTGGAGCATTTATTAAGAAGAATATGAACTTTCAACGGATCAGAAAGGATTGCGCCGAACATTTGTGGCTGAAAGGAAAAGTCGCTGGGGAATCAACAGTCCTTGGAGTGGTTTACTTATGGACAGGGACAGGTGCTAAAGAGGAAAACGGAAAAATGATTGATTGCATATCAAGAGACATTAGTGAACTAGGGGAAGGCTCCGAAATAATTATTATGGGAGACATGAATGCCCATATTGAGGGTCTGGATGGGTATACGGACTCAACTGGAAGCATATTACTAGAACTGGTGGAAAAACATGACTTAGTTTTATGTAATACCAGTCAGAAGTGTGACGGGCACATAACTTGGGAAACTGGCAATCTGCATTCAACTATAGATTACGTACTCATGTCACACAAAATATATGGTAAGTTACAAGTAATGAAAATAGATGAAGAAGGTTCCAAAAGTCTTGGTAGGGATCACAAACGTATTAAGCTGAATTTTGCCAGAGAAGTAAATCCTGAAACTAGACAACATAATTCAAAGCAAACTTTCTGCAGCGACAAAGAGTTGGAAATAGTTGTTGAAAGAATAGAGGCAGCAGTTTCAGGGCACCGGCATACAGATTGGACCTATGAGAGCCTAACTAGGCTTTTTGCTCTAGAACTAGACAAAGTTGAGTCAACGAAAGGGGAAGCAAGGACATAGACCAAAAAGCTGGTGGGACAAAGAAGTGAAGCAAGCGATACAAAAACGTCAGGAAGCCTCTAAAAAACACAGGTATTCCAAGCGTAGTGGGGAGTCCGAAACAGAAGTAAAAAGAAAATGGGACAATTTTATAACATGTCGCCGAGAGGCATCCAGTTTGATCAATGCGAAAATTCAGAGAAAGGGTGAGGAATGGATGAGTAATGTAAGTAAGAAAGATAGAAACGCTGCCAAGAAGTTTTGGGAGCACTTGAACTCACTCGGTGAAACAACGCAAGCTAGACAGAGGTTCATACTCTCGCATCAGGGAGATCAATTAGAGGGAGATGATGCGATACAATATATAGGAGCAGTGATGGAGGAGAAATTTCGGGAACGGTTACATGTGGAAGATAGGAGAACCGAAGGAAGTAGCAGTCCAGTTTGTGACATCGCGGATTTTGGACAAAGAGAATGGGAAAAGGCGGAACGAAGAGTCCCTAGTGGCACGTCGACAGGCACAGATGGTATCCCTATCAAGCTGGTGAAGAATTTGGGTCCTAAATCTAAGGCAAAACTAAGGGAGGTAGTGAGTACCATGATAACAAAAGGAAATATTCCAGATGAATGGAGGCTTAGTAGGATGAGTATGATATATAAGGGAAAGGGAGATAAGTCTGATATTAGGAATTATCGTCCTATAACCGTGACACCGGTTATTTACAGGTTGGTAATGCAGATTATAAAGAACAGACTGGAGGAATGGGTAGATTGCGAGGGCATACTGGGCGAATTACAGAACGGGTTTCGAAAACAAAGAAGGTTGGAGGACAATTTATTTTCTCTAACACAGTGTATAGAAATAGCGCAAAAAGAAAACAGACAGCTCTGGCTGGCATTTCTGGATATCAAGGGTGCCTATGACAATGTGAACCAAAGAAACCTGTGGGACATAATGGAGAACTTAAACCTAGATGAAGGACTAACAGCACTATTAAAGGGGTACTCCACCGATTTTTCGAGCTACCTCAACTGACTATACTTTCTGACTCCCCGGCCTTTACTCTCTCCGGTATGCTATTTAGAATCGCGAAATTCATAATAGTTATTGCGAAATCGGCAAATGAAAATGATGCAAAAACCAACATTCAAATATACGCGCGCTTTTCAGGGCCGTGACGTCAGTGGCAGGCAGGCTTGCCAGTCGAGCAAGCAGCCAAAAAATAGAATATGCCAATCATTTGTTCCGTGCTGGAGCGCGGGTACTGCAGCGAGCTTCCCAAGAATTCATTTGACACCATGAAACTGCTTCGAATCAGTTTAAAACGAAATCTACAGCCCAAAGAGTGAACCCCTGCCTTCCACTGACGTCACTTTTTCATTGTTGCCAGTAGAGACTTCGAGCTTGAAAAACACGGCGAGGACCAAAACTGTAAATTCAATAACTTCGCGAAAAAACAATATTTTGACCTAATATTTGGGATACTATTTTCGCGATGTTTGTTGGTTAGTTTAGCAAAATTTCAAGCAAATCGGAGACAATGAAAAAATCGGTGGAGTAGCCCTTTAAAGGGACATTGACAGCCCCCCAAAAATTTTTTTCATTTTTTGCCAGGCGCTTTATTATGGTGTCGGAGGACTACCCAATTAATATTTTGCAACAGAGTAGCGTATTTTTTTAATAAAGCCAAAAGACGCAACTGCTCGAAACCGAAACCGAAACCCGACGGAGGTCGGAGAAGTGGAAAGAAGAAAGTGAGCGGCGGAAGTCGCGTGGCTACACCCGACCAGGCGTTTTTTTTTTTTGTGTTTTTTTTTTTTTTCTCCTCTCCGTAGCAGACGACACGACATGCAGCGTGCGGGAACTGCTCGCCGCGCGATTCTTTTGCAGTTATGTTTGTTCCGCTCGTTGTTCTGTACTCCAAGATGAGTTGTTTTGTACATTGAGGAGTTGGAGATGAGGAGTGAGTGCCCGTGGTGAATTTCATGATGGGCTCCGAAAAGAATACGCCCAAGATGTTGCGTGAAGAGCTGGCTCACATGTCCTGCGTCCGAAAAAAGGGGCATTGTGCGACAGAGTTTCCGAAAGATTAACGGGATCGGGACCAATGGCTGGCTGCAATTCCTGTAGAACATTTACGGGCACCTAGGAAAGCGGACGCTACCTGATTTATATGCTCCTTGCATTTTGTGGAAAGTGATTACATTGAGTTCGCAGGTGTCAAAACGGAAATCCCATACCATTTAATTCAGCGAGGTATCGTCCACAACATTTGTTTGTTATTTTTTTGTTTGTTTCGTCAGTGATGATTGTAAAAAAAAAAAAAAATGAAAAAATGCTTTACGGGGGATCGACCCCGGTCCTTCCGCGTGTGAACCGGACGTCTTTCCCACTGAGCTACTGGAGCATTTTTTTTTTTTTTTTCTTTAAACAGTTTATTTTTAGTTTGCAGAAATATTTGAAAATGTTCAAGTACAAAGAGCATTCGCCACACTATTTACAACATACTAACATGAATGGTGAAGTATGAAACACACGTGAGGTATGATACATGGTAGACATACACGCAGTTCTCACTCATTCTAATCAGTACATAAAGAATGCACATCAGCGTCGTTGGCTTGTAAAGTTCAGCACGAACATGTCACTGACACTTACAAAAAGTCATTTCAAAAGAGTCCCAAACAGTGATCTTTAACAACTATAGCACATATGTGACCGATGGAAGAATTACTTTCAGAAAGGTTTCATTACAATGTTATTACAGCTGCTTCATTTGAATGAGAGTGTCTAGTAAAGGTGCCCACTCGGGGGTCCCCTCGGCGGGGGCATAAATACTCTTAATCTGCGTGACAAGTTCAATGAAATATACATCCACGGTGTGGGCGTTTATGTCCGCGTGTCTAACAGCCATGCGGGATTTCCAAATACTGAAAAGCCCCAGAAGCACAAATAAGTCGTAAGGGATCAACTCATGTTTGTCAACTGGAAGAAAACGAATGTAATAGGGTGTGATAATCAGATCTTTTTTCAGTGTCCTCTTTAAGATGTCCCAAAAAAGTACGGCGTCCCAACAATCAATGAATACATGCTCAACACTTTCTGGTTGTTTACACAATAAACAGTCAACCGACCATGGAACAAACATTCCTCTTTGTTTCATCCATACTTTCACAGGTAGTGTTCCGGTGTGTAGTTTAAAAAAGAAAGTTTTTACTGCAGGAGGGATATACATCTTTTTGACTCGACATAGTACATCCTGACCTGGGCCATCTGCGAACAAGGCGCGATAGATAGGTACTGGAAAAAGTATGTCCAAGAGTGCCCGTGTAAGGTCTTTTCTGTTGGCAGTGGAAAGGTACTCCCGTGAAAATCGTGCAGATAGAAAATTAAAAGAGTCGACGACCTCTTTTAGAAAACCTACGGCAACCATAGGTTTTAAATTCTCGGATGAAACCAAAAAGGATGGGAAGTGACAAGCCAATTTTGTCTGAATCATTGTACGAAGAAATGGCTGTTCCTGATCTCGGAGGAAGAAAAACCTCGACACTAGTTGTCGAACATACAAATGTGGTAAGCCAATCCCACCAACGGAAATACGTCGGAAGAGGTTGTCTCGCCTCATCAGTTCAGATCTGGACTTCCAAACAAATAAAGCACAGATTCTATGAATTTTTTGCACGTTCTTCCTGGCACAATGCAGAACTTGCAATACATACATAATCCTAGCAATAAGAAAAATATTGCATGCAGTCGCTCTTGCAAAAATGGACAAATCTCGATTCGGCCATTTTGACACTCTCCGTTTCAAATCATTAGTGACTTCGGACCAGTACGATGTGCTATTACGATATTGGTGGAGTGGAACACCGAGATATTTACAAGGCGTATCACTCCACCGGACGCCTTCGTATTCGGTTGGCCGCATTGCCCATGAGCCATGCCAAAACCCAGAGCATTTCTCCCAGTTCACTGCTGCACCAGTTTCATTGCAAAACACCTTGGTTAGAGAAAGCGCCTCGGTAATACTTT